TGTCACTGGTTCAAGCTGTTGTTGTTGCTCGTGGACTTTACACGGGCGAAGCATTGGAAAGTTGTCACAGAACCAAAACGAAAAGCCGGCAACTAGTAGTTGAAAATTCTTGGCTTCGTTTTCGTGCCCCGCAAAACCAGGCGGATCGAGCTGACGGGTATTTACGGAATTGGCGACAAATGGCCCTCTACTGTTTGAATCTTGCATCTTGTAGGTCTTTTTGTTGTTGTTTTTTGTGCAAAACCGCTATGTACGCGTCGACCCGTTATAAAGGAAATAATCATCATCATTATCCCTATACCTCCATTGTTGACACATTTCACAGGTTCAATTGTACGGGAAATCGCATTCAAGACCATTCTGTATGTACATCAATGGTCTCTTCAAAACCATCTGCGAACGAAAAGAAATTTGGCTTCAGTTATTGCCTGATTAAGTCTACTTATACTTTCTTGGGTATTTTAGAATGAACGTGCCTTAAAGGAGCACTAAAGTCAAATAATTTATGTGAAAGTGAAAGCTCAATGTATGATAACGTATATAAAACGACAATATTAGGTCGCGGGATCGCATTCCGGCTGCATTTTCGATGGAGGCGAATAGGCTTTAGGCTCGTGTGCTCAGGTATGAGTGCACGTTAAAGAACCCCAGGTGGCCGAAAGTTCCGGAGCCGTCCACTACGGCGTCTCTCATAATCATATGGTGGTTTTGGGACGTTAAACCTCACATATCAAAACGACAGTATTATGAACAGTGGTGCCCTACTTACCAATAAATTTATGTAAATTCACGGGAACACATGCGCCACGAGTAGGACATTCGCCAAATGATCCCGATTACGCCATAATTACCGCCTACAATTAATCACTAGTAATCGAATTAACTGCACTAAATAGGAACCTTCCGTGCATCAAGAGACGTAATAAAATGTTACTTGTTAGTTTCTGTTTGATTCATGGAAAAAAGAGCCGCCGCACGTTATTACGGAACTTAGAAGCGCGGCGGTTTGGGCTAGTTGGTATGTCATGACGATTGTTGTAGTGCGATATAAAAACGACGACAAAGGAACAAGAAGACGACGAGTGTTCTTCATCATCTTTGTCGTCGTTCTTATCTCGCGCTGTATTAACAATCGTGTGAATGGTTCAAAAGTTCAATTTCCGCCTGGTTCAACTGGAGAAGTCGTGCCATCTAGCGGGGCTAAGTTGAACCCAAGCACGCCTGGCATCTCGGAGGTCATGGCGGGAAATTGTTCGATGACCGTTATTGCTGCCGAGGCTCCCGCTACTTTCGCTGCTACCGCTAGTGCCGGTGGCCGCGCAGTAAAGCCGGGTAACGCTGTGCACGGCAACAGTGACGTGAACGTTTCCACTTGAGGCGGGTTATCTGAAGTTAGAGTAACCCTAGAATGCGATGCGGACCACTAAGCTTGAATATATTTCAAATTAAGCACTTCCTTGGCACAAAAGTAGCACTACGAGGTTTCTCGACTGCTATTTCAGCAATCAACACCGACTTACTATTTGCCTTTAGTGTCCCTTTAAGTTTTTTTTTCTTTTCTTGCATACAGTGATATGTGTACTAGGGTGACTGACGTTGCATCACATTTCACATATATTTGATATACCCTACCCCACTGCAGTGCCTGTCCGCAATGAAATAAATAAGTAAACTTTTTTCCCTCATCGTCTCCACACAAAATATGCAGAGAAGTTTGACTTTGTAACACTCAGAAGGGTCTTATTACTGGTAGGAAACTTCCCATGTTTGATGTGGAATGCCCAGTTCTCTCTAACATACAGAGTCATTTTGTATGAGTACCAGTCAGTTAGCCTCACTTGCTTCGTACACATCGAAAATAACGATTGCGCGGATGAGCTAGTTGGTTGATTGATATGTGAGGTTGAGCGTCCCAAAACCACCATATGATTATGACAGACGCCGTAGTGGAGGGCTCCGGAAATTTCGACCACCTGGGCTTCTCTAACGTGCAGCCAAATATGAGCGCACGGGCCTACAGCATTTTCGCCTCCATCGAAAATGCAGCCCCGATTTGGTCCCGCGACCTGCGGGTCAGCAGCCGAGTACTTTAGCCACTAGACCACCGAGGAGGATGGAATGTTAAGCAAGGCTAACAGCTAACAGCATCCAACAAGGCGCGACTCAAGCTCGCGAAACGGCCACAAGCAGCGGTGAGAATGTGCAGAGGTAGGCGCCATCTGCCAATCACTGTCAAGACAGGGCGCGTGACCGATCGAAGCATTCTGTGAGAGTGTCAATGCTTCTAGTACACTCGTTGTTTCTCAGTCACGCAGCCCTCTCTTCGGCATCTAGTGACCTAGAATATCTACACCCTCCGGCGCGTCTTTCGCGCGCCTGAGGTGGCTCCGTGGCTGGCACACTTACCAGTGACCTCTCTATTTCCCCTACGCCTGAACCGCGATCGTCAACCACCCTCGCATGCCCCGCCGCAGTGGTCTAGTGGCTAAGGTACTCGGCTGCTGACCCCCAGGTCGCGGGTTCGAATCCCGGCTGTGGCGGCTGCATTTTCGATGGAGGCGGAAATGTTGTAGGCCCGTGTGCTCAGATTTGGGTGCACGTTAAAGAACCCCAGGTGGTCAAAATTTCCGGAGCCCTCCCCTACGGCGTCTCTCATAATCATATGGTGCTTTTGGGACGTTAAACGCCACATATCAATCAATCAACCACCCTCGCATGCTTTTGCTCGCACATATAGCATATTATGCGTAGGGTTTTATTGCTCGTAGACTTTACACCAAACGAAGCATAACAAGTCATCGCAGAATAACGACAAAAAATTTCGCCAGATATCCCACGTGCCTGGGAATCCACTTTATGCGAAGCATGCGGAAGAATGGTGACCGTTAGCAATTTTTTTATTGAGCGACACGCCATGAAATGGCGCTAAATTATATGTCGCACACACAGACTTATGTTGAAGAGTTGCAGGTGTTTATATAACTAGTTGTTTGCACTTGCGCAACGATGCCATCTGGGACATGCGTATTAGCAACACCAGAATTGCTGATATTAAGCACTGATGCTAGCGAAGATGCTTACCCTGGACACTGCTACATAAATCAACTTCAGCGCATGACAACTAATCACATCTGACGTTAACCCGACGTGACGGCTGTACCAAATAGTACATATGTAATGTTTATAAAATTGGGTACGCAGCACTGAAACCGCTATTACCGTTTCACGAAGATTAGCGTCTATTTGAAAAGTAGTTCCGAGACCTGGCATAGCTCTGTGGTAAAATGCTTCATTGGCACCCTGAATGCTTGGGTTCTATTACAGCTGGCACTCGTCGGATCGACGCCGCCGACATCGGGTATTTCTTAACACTCGCGCGCTAAAATTGCCCATGTGTGTTCTCGTCGTTCTTGAGCAGGTACCAAGTGTCAATCAGCTGTGGCACAGTATACCTGCCCGTGGGTATGTGCGACTGTCTGACGGGAAGTGTTTGACGACGTACGCGACGGGATTGTGACATTATTCATGTCTTGACAAGCGCGTCGTATTCGTCAAACCATCTTACCCTCTCATACTAATTTTGGTTCACGCAAGTAAATGGGGTGACCGCGAGAAACCCCTAACGTAAGCGGCTAGATAGATAGATACGCTCAAAGTCACCGAAGTTCGCTAAGAAATACTTCGCATTTAAAACCGGCCCCTAGTACCTATAAATGCTTTTTAAAGTGGAGCCATTACACCATCACAGGTATGAACTTTGAACTCTACAGGGCACTGCTACTCTTCTAGTACACTGTAGCACTGCTAGCGCATGAATATATAGAGAGCGCGCGCGCACGAGTGGCAATGGAAGGATGACATAACCCGCTTGCATTACGAAAAATTCCAAGGAATGACTAGAAAATGACCTGTACCTTCTTACCATTTGAATAACATCTTCTAGTTTATTCGAATTAATAAAGGGTGACGAGATCGATTCCGACATGTGAGATTCCGTGTCGCGCCGTCGTCCATTTTAGCGAATCCTAATTTCGCCATAGATATTACTTTGAATGGCTCCGATATTGAAAAGCCCTTACTATTTTTTAGTTGTCAGCTGATATTACACTAAAACGAATCATCAGACCATGGACGATTGAAGCCGCCACATACAGTAACAACAGGGGTAGAAAAGAAAAAAGAGAAAAAGGTACGGCTGGTAGGTGTTCTCTGGTACGGCTATGCCACCACACGGTCTAGCAGTATGGAATGTTAAGTGTAGCTAACTTCAGTTGTTTTAGGTTCAGATGGTGCTGTTTTGTGTGTGTGTGTGTGTGTGTGTGTGTGTGTGTGTGTGTGTGTGTGTGTGTGTGTGTGTGTGTGTGTGTGTGTGTCTATTTTATGTTATTTTTCTAAAGGGTTTTCTTTTTTTAATCTTGCAAGCTTTAATTATGGCCTGTAATGACTAATTAATTCAATTTTAACTCTTTCTTTCAAGAAGTGAATTATTTAATAAGCAAGGCACCGTCCGATTCAGAGTGGGTTGCACCAAGATATGTTGATGAACCAACCAACCAACATGATCCGAATTCATTTCAATCGTTCGGTACATTTGTACATGTACTTTAATTTGCATTGCACGGTGCTTTTTTTGTGTCACCCCCGCCAAATGTGGGAGCAGCGGGTGGGAATCGAACCAGCGACCTAGAACCATAGAAGCAGAAGGGACTTTCAGTTCACTGTCGTAAATAAATAAATGAGATCGGCCAAGCCAGAAGCGGACGCATATACTTGCCTGCCTGTAGAAGACGACCAGCCGTAGCATTGTTCGTTTGAAGCACGGAGTTCCTCCGTGGTTTGAAGGATGAAAGCATGCGAAAGTTTAGCCACGCGTTTAGACGATTTAACCCGGTAATACATGAGAACACTTTGTAATACTACGTAATGAAGTAGGCTGTATGCAAGCGCCCCCTATGCTTGCATATTATAAAGCATATCTCTACACGAGTAACCTCCCTCATATTTTGAGGTCTTTTGCATCACTTGCGCGCTGCAGAAAAAAGCAACAGTTGCGAGCTCGAGGAAGAGCATTCCGAAAGCGTCCGAAGCTCGCCGCGATGACGCGGCCGCGAGCGTAGCCTTCAGCATTTCCCAGGTTTGTTCTTCAAAAGCGCTCGCAAGTGCGTGAAGCCGACGAGAACGCGACGACTGACGTTTCGTGCTGAGACGGAAGCAGCGAACGGCCCATTACTTCCGGTACCATCTAGCACCGTCTGCTCACAGCTCAAGATGGAGACTGATGTTGCGTTGCTGTTGGGAATCATCGTTGTACTGATTCTACTCTTGTTGACGCTGCTAGGCTTTCTCGGCTACTGTGGCCTGTTCGCGCCGATAGACATTAAGGCCGAGAAGCCGCCCTTCCAGGAGTTGAATGTGGCGTACAAGTTCTGCCGCGGCTCGTACAAAAATTCGGGCGCGCTCTTCACCGAAGCTCACAGCATCGCGCCCACCCTGAAATGCATCGGTGTCTACTACGACGACCCAAGCGAGGTAAGACTGCGCAACCGGAGCATTTCTACGTTTTTTGTTCGACCAGGGCAATGTTGTTGCCGCCACGCGGCCGGTCGTCATCCCTCGAAAGTTGGCAATTTGAGCGGGCGAACTCGTTCCTTTTATTGCCTGCGTACCGTCGCCTTCCCAGCCCACTGAGTCACGCCTGTCACTTTCACCGCGCCATTGGTCGTTGCCCGTGCGCGCGGTACGCTTGCTTTGGAACGAAAACGCGTTTGAAAATAAGGGCTGGTGCCATCAATCGCCTCCGTGACCGAACGGTAATTACTACCCTTACGTCAGACCCCTTTATCAACGCGCTTATCTGAGGCGTACATTGCCGTCGCCTTTTTGTGCATTTCGAGTTGTCATGCGCCGCTTATGGCGGAAAGATGTGGCATTACGAACCCTCTCTGCACACTTACGCACGCAGTCCCCCATCTATTGGCACCTGCTCTTTTTACCTGTTGATTTCCTTTCTCGGCAGCACTTCCTTGGTCAACCCGGGGTGTTTGTTTACAGCAGGCCGTATTCGCGACGTTACTCAGTAAAAGTACTACGCTATGCGGCTTCTCGCGTGGCAGACAATGCAGTCGTTACATCAAGCTACCTGTCGTCCCCTCCGCAGCATGTGCGGAAGCCGTAAAACACTTCCAAGATCTTCAATGCCTAAGCGCTGACATCGTCCAAGTTATGACGCAGTGGGCGATACGCATTACGCCGGAAACATGTGATGTTTTCATTAGAACATGTTTGTCGACAAAGCCCGCTAAGAAAAACGTTTTTTTTTGGGGTAGACCCGTAGTACGCTATATGGTTGAGATTTGTTAGGTAGCTTTTAGTAGTTGCGTGGTTTTTTTTTTTTTTCAATAAGTTTACATAATTGTTCGAGCTGAAGATATTGTGCAAGATATTGGTGGAGGCTCATGAAAGAACAGACAGGGGCTTTGTGAAGCTATGTGCAGACAAATAGCTCGTGGACGCATACTTGAAAAGAAATTAAAATATCATTAGGAGGAAGCTGTCACCCTCCACATTGTAGCCATGAATTGGGAGAGACGGAAGAATGCCAACTTTGTTGCGAAGTCGTGTATCCGTGGGTTAATTATTCTTAGAGCAGCTGTGGTTGTTTCCTTATTATTTATGAGGCATGCTTTTCTTGTGTGCAAATACATTACTTCATTCCTGTCATGCTGTTCAATATTACTTCAAGTCCTATAGCTATAGAGAACTGGAAAATATCTTTAGGAATGAAACTGCATGTTTCTATGTACTGATAGCTATTAGCTGTATGGTATCACTATTAGCTGGTCGTAAACAGAAAGTGTTATTATCCTCATGTTAACTTTATTCTGTGTTGCTGTTTTGTATCTCTACAGGAAAGTTGTCTTTTTTCAGTTTTGTTATTACTAGCCAGTTTCTTTTTAATATTTTGTATATTCACTTAATATTTAGAAATACTATGTAAACAGATTTAGTCTGACATTTCTGGCTTGATGCTACAGAGAACATGTTGCCATGATGGGGATAACTGTAAATTGTGCAAATTTCATTATGAACTTTTCAAACATGCATTTTTAAACAACTTCAACAGCCTTCAACAGCCACTGTGAGCAGGCAGTGTATTTTGTGTGAATCAGTAAAAAAAAAAATCAGTTGCATGTGTAAGATGCTGCATCTCTTCTAGAGAGTTTTGTCAGGCACTGAATGCTTAACATGTTATATTCCAAAGGCATGCCTCAATCGTCCATTCCAGTGATTTCTTATAGAATTAATGAAAAGTTTAATTGTGTGTTTATTGCCCCTTTGTGTATAATACATACAGCTGTGTTGCGAACGTCTGTCATGTTAGCTTAACTAGAGGAAGTCCTGTATTATTGCACTATGTCCGATGTACAAAGATTTCAGCATGTTTATGCATTATGACAAAAAAGAAAAGGCACATATACAAGAACAAGCTTGAAGGGAAAGACAGCATCACAGATCAGTCTTTGCTCTCATCATTATTCTTGTATGTATGCCTCTTTTTTGTATACTTCATATGGCTGAAAATGGACAAAGAGTCCTGCTGTTGGGCACGAGCTCATTGTTTCACTTTTAAATTGTGGCAGCTACATTTTGACATGTAGCTGCCACAATTGACATGTTTGTGACATGTGCAGAGAGTAAACCCTCATTTACCACATAATTTCAATGTTTCACAGCACATGTAGTGAGGACAAATAAAGAGTAGGCACACACAGCGCTAAACTTAGAACAGGCTTTTATTTTCCTATTCGCCCTGGCTCCTGATTTCTTGTTCGTCCTCATTTCATGTGCTACGAAACATTAAAATTGTACTGCACCAATGCTCAACCTTAGTCATTTACCACACTCTTGGTCTATGTTTAACAACCCTGGCTACCCAGAAATAAATCTGTAGTACTTCAGTTTTGCATGTTTAACTGCCCGTGTACTGCTTTAGGACATTTAATGCACTCAATAATCACTAATTGGTGTGGAATCGTGTTTCAAGTATCTGTTTTTGCCACTACTGCCTAGAGGTCTGTGGCTTAAACAAACAAAAGTGTGCAAAAAAAAATGGATGAGAAAGGTTGTTATAACTTCATCATCTCTTCCTTTTGGTGCCTTGCTTATGAATAAAAAAAGCATTGCTAAAAATGCTTTATTTGCTTATTACCAACTGTGCATTTGAATGCTTAATATGATACAATATCTCAATTTTCGTGCTTCATTTCACAGCTTGCCTTGTGCCCGGTTGCCACAATGTTTTACTTACGTGTGATAACCAGGGAATATAGAATGCATTTATAAAGGGCTTCTGCTCGACACTTTCAGGTTGACGTGCCGCGCCTACGCTACCTCGTGGGTGTGGTGCTGAACGACAGCGACCGGCCGGCCACCAAAGAGGTCAAGGAGCAGCTGGAAGCTGAAGGCTTTAAGACTGTCAGCTTCCCAGCCGTCGATCATGCTGTCACCACTGTGTTCCCGTTCCGCGGCTCAGTCTCTGTGATGATCGCCATGGCCCGTGTCTACCCTAAGCTCAGAGAGTACATCAAGGTGCGTAAGGCACATCGCGGTACTTTCTATTTACAGCCTTCCGTGGTGCCACAGTATGGGACTGCGAAAGAGTGTGCTATAGATTATAGAACATTGAAAGTCCTCTGCATTCATTCTTCATAGGCGGATGCACACAAGCCTGCACCAATGGGTGTGCACTCTAGACTCAGACCGTGAGCTGGACAGCCAGTGACTCTGCCTTCAGAGAACATAGCAGAGGGCATGAGCTGGAGTATTTTTTTTTTTTTTTTTTTCAGAGGCGATCAGCTGCCCTGCTTCAATCATCTGGGGCATGCCTCCCTGGACTTCTAAACTTGTACCGGACTATAACTGTTTGTGGAGTGGGTGCAGAGTGAGCTGTGTGCCAAGCGTATTTTTTTTTTAGCACTTTCGTGGTCCCTTCCTTGCATAATCGTGTTTGGTGTCATTGGCACACACCTTGGTCCCTCCTGGTTCACTATGTGCAAAGAAAAATCAAAGCTTTGCAGGCAGTACTACCATCTGCATTGAGGTTACATAAACGCTGTGGTGCCGTCGTACACCACCGTGGTTCCGAGCGTTGCGAGCTCCATGCGGGGTTTCACATCATCATTTGTCTTGTCGCACCGTGTACCATACATGCCGCTGCGCGTGCCAGCTCGGACCATCGCTTCGAAGGAACGGCGAGTCCAGGCACCGTCCAAATGCCCGAAGGGGTCTCCTCGAACTGCGTCTCGCGCTCCCACTTGTCAGGCTACTAGTGCAAACAAGGCCCAAATCCCACAAAAATTAGGCCAATGGGACACTGCGTTAAACCTTTGAGGGGCGGGGTGACAGTGAAGTGACGGCGATTTGACCAGCTGCCATCCCTCGGATTAGGAGGAGAGAAACATGAGAACTCTGCAAGGGGAAGTGGCATTGAGCGACCAATGCGGACGCCTGCATTCCCATAGTGCAGCCCCGCCGCGGTGGTCTAGCGGCTGCTGACCCGCAGGTCGCGGGATCGAATCCCGCTGCGGCGGCTGCATTTGCGATGGAGGCGGAAATGCTGTAGGCCTGTGTGCTCAGATTTGGGTGCATGTTAAAGAACCCCAGGTGGTCAAAATTTCTGGAGCCCTCCACTACGGCATCTGTCATAATCTTATGTTGGTTTTGGGACGTTAAACACCATATATCAATCGATTCCCATAGTGCGTGAGACTTGGAATTATAAGTTATGATAACTGATGAAATGTTTGGCACTGTAGAAATTTTGTAATGTGATGCTAAGTCTAACGACTCTAACAAAATCTCTGTTGTCTTTTAAAGTGATTATGACAATGTTTTAGTGATTACAGCTTGTAGTTTCACTAATTTAAACAGTAGCAGTGGTTTTAAGAATTCTGTTCTTATATCATGTCAGAAGCCTTTACTCTTATAGGTGCTGGCCAATCGCACATCCTGTGGCACCATTGCACAACTGTATCAATGACCAGTCGCCAATAGCATTTATAACTCTAGAAAGTGGTGCGAATGCACTCCGGTAGCTATCTCGTTTTACTGAAGAAAAAGAATTCTTTGCAGGTGTGTATGTCAGTCTCGCAACAGGTGGATCAAAGACAGCAAAGCTGGGTAAAAGTTCTTGTGCACTTTAGAAATCACTATTAGTTTGTTTACTTTCTCACAGCCGTACTTGAATGTAGAAATAGTTGATGCTATGTTTGAGCACGGTCATAGCCGGCTGTTTCCGGTGGTGGCTCCGACTCGTGCTTTATTGCAGCACATCAACTTCTCAGGCAGACATTACGTTGTATTGAGATTTGATATGGCTTGCACCTTTATTACAAGGAGAAGGAAGTGAAGACATACTAAAAGAACCCAAGAAATAAGAATCTGTATACCCAGCTTGACTTGTTGCTTGCGATCATTTCTGTGCAGGAGAAGCTGCTGTGCGCACGGCCTATGATGGAGATCTACGAGGACGAGCGGGTGCTGTTTGTTTGCCCACTTTCGAAGCAAGACGAGTTCTACGTCGAGGAAGCCACAGAGGACCCCGAAGAGGGTGCCACATCTGACCCTGGCACCACTACCGCTTCCGAAGAGGATCACGGTGAGGATGAGGATGAAGAGGAGGAAGAGCCACCATCTCTACCCACGAGCCAACCGGCATCGAGCAATGGCAATGGCGGCAATGGAAACACAGAGGAAAGTGACCACGAGCGTGGCTCTCGCAGCAGCACCACGTCCTCCTTCGAAGAGCTGCGCCTCGAGACTGCATCTAACTAGGCACTGCTCTTCTCGGGCCTCACCATGTTCTTCCCCTCCCAATTGTCCTTCTTCCCCGGTGTTGCACGTGGGACGTACACTGCATGCCCTTCTGCAAGTGCACAATGCTGCCACCTCTCTTTCCTCCATCCCAGGGCTTGAACCTCAAGTTGTTGTTTTGAGGTGTGCACGCAGTTATAGTTGAGGTGTTCGTTGAAGGAGCCTGCTCTATTGGAAGGGTGTCTGAGGGAATCTGAAGCAATGCTAAATGTAGTCATAAGTCATGCCTATTTGGTAGTAATAGTCGGCATGCTCCATTACATCAGCAAACATACTATTAGATTACTACAGGATCCACTAATTGGCATCCAGCATTGTTTTTAACTGGAGACTGGATTGGGTATTTCTTTTCAAGCTCTGTTCCTGTTTCCCAAAGGTTTGCTGTCTGAATCGTCAGAATAGTGAGCCACCTGTCTGAAGATGACATGCGCTGTTGTGCTGCATTCTTCACCTTCTGTGTCATACAAAGTGAATATATGCAAGTCTTCAAGCACGTTGAACTCTGTGAAGGAGTATGCTGTTGAATGCATCATAACAATGTCTAGTTTGTGCGGTCCAAGGCACATTGGTGAGCCGTATTTGAAATGAATACAGAGTTCTGTTCATGGCACTATTGAAAGTCTGGTAGAGGACTATAGTATTCAAAGTATGTTGGTAGACTAGTGAACAGCATGGCATCATCAATTGGAAGCACATCCATTTACACCTGGCAATCAGGGCATGGCTTATCATCTTCCAAATGTTCATAATTCAGTGGTAAAGGCACGACTGCATGTAAGAGGATAATGACCTGTGTTCGAAATTGGCGATGTGCTGTTGGGTAATGCCATATCCGAAGTGTATCTGAAGTAGGTCCCACATCATAACAATTTTCTCAGGTCTGCATTCAAGCTTCTTTCCTGTCACAAAGGAAAGAGAGGAAGAGAGTACATTTGTGACTTGCATTGTAGTTCCAGTGACCCGTAAAACACCACCGCACAGGACTCCACAACGGGCAGGATCCTTGCAGTGAACAGGATCCTCGCAGAAAAATTGTCTGCAGTGAGGACGAGATTCTGTTGGTAAGGAAATAAGACCAGCTTTTTTTTTTTATCTATGGAAAAAGCTCCCACGTTTCTTGTACAGGTGTAGCATTGGAAAGAGAGTTAAGAAGGGAAGAAGCATGTTCCAATAACTTCCAATTGACTGTTGCGCAAGTGTCCAGCTGTATCTTCCGTATTATCCACCCCGTTTACTCGAGCCACTTCTGGATTTTTGTGGCACCGTCAAGCGTTTGGGACTGTCGGACATACATTTATGTATACGGAAACTGTGCGGGGTCGACTTGGACTGGACCTTCTGATTAGTTTGGTAGGTTCAGCGAAACTTTTACTCTCTAGTCCAGCCTTTTGAGGGAAACCACAGATAGGAACGAGTCGGCCTTGTCCCAGGACAGAGTGCCGTTTTTGTTTCGGTTGTTGGTGACCTTTCAAGAGTTCTTTTTTTATTTCTTTTTTTAGACCACATCTTGCAAAATTGCCGCATTGTACTCTTTAAGCAAAAGTACTACTGTGACATTGTAGTGTGTCTCGTTCAGTACTATGTGCCGCCTTCCTAGCAGTGTTGTGTGCTTGCCATAGAAGCATGATTTTAAGACGGGCGGTTGTAAGCTACACCCTCTGCAAGTTGCCGTCACTGGTTTGACGTCCTCTTGCTTTTCAGTTTTGTTGGGCATTTACCCGTTGCTTTTGACTCGTACTTTCAAAATAACAACTCTTAGTCTTCCTTCTATGCTGTATGAAGCTGCGCTGTTGCAGCAGTACTTTGAAGTGACTGGCAGGTCCTTGACAGCGCTGCAAGCAGCAGCATGTCGTTGAGGTGTAGCAAATAGCTACAAAGTGGAAAGGCAGCAAAATTGCATTGAAATAAAATGGAAGCAGCTTTTGTTTGCATTTCTGGGTATTCGCAAGACTTCAGTGTTGCGTGCTTGTAGTTTGTAAGTCTATTAGACAAGACGTACTTGGTGAACACCTTGTGGGCGTCGGTGTGCGGGGCCCAGATTAGAATACATCTTTATGAAGCTACGCTGAACAATACAGAATGCAAATGCAACACAATAGACAATATCTTTTTTCTCTAGAAAACAGTTAGGTGGGGTGCTATAGAGCATTTAAAAAAAAAAAAAAGCACTCTCTCATATTAGCCTTTGATTCATGCATAGTTCAAGTTGTTCCTTGATGAACGAATTGCAGGCTTTTGCGCCAGCTTTCGAACTTGTGGAAAACTCGATATTAAGAAGTCTTCTTTTACATTGTAAGACAAACAAAAGGTTTTGTTAACTTAAAACACCGAACTCTTCTAGCGAGCTACTTACATGTTTTCTTGCCTTTTGTGCTACTCTCTCTATTGCATGTACAAATGTGTTCGGTACTGGGTACTTGGCACTATCTCAGTTACCTGCTTATAGTCTCAATTGCCAAGATGTTTTACCAAGACAGCTGTTTGTGTGTGCATCATTCTTTTGTTGCTTTTCGAGGGGGGTGGATGGAATTTTAATGTTCTCCATGATCTTTCATGATTGAGGTCGGTCTATTTGGCCATCGTAACGACAGAAAGGGTGACTTAAATGAATCTTCTTGCTTCTTATAGTGTAGTTTTTATGAACTTGCACCTCCTGTAACATATGTCTAGTGACTTCAAGGATTTAGCTAAATCCCTCACATTTTCAGTTCTACCGGGTTCGTTGTAACATCTGGTTATCAGCTTTCAGCGCATTAAGAAGTTTTTTGTGTTTAATTCCTAGTGGTGTTCTTTTTTTTTAATTCACTTTGCAAAAGAAATACATAAGGGGGCAGAAGACTGAATTTTCGTTGCACTGTCAACACTGTTCCTGTCCACCACTAAAATGCTCTGCATCTCTCGTCAAAAGCTAAACCTGAGGCCTTAGTTTAAAATACCAAACTGTTCCAACTGCCGAGACCTAACCGTCCTTCGTTTCTCAGCTGGTATAAAGAAAAGGATAAAGGGTTGATCTGTATTATAAACTGCTTTACTTGTTGGCACTTTTTTCACATATTTATCCCACAAACATTTTCTCAACCATACAGAGATATTCTTGGCCCACAAAAGTTTGTTATGGTAATGTTGACAGGTGTTTGTTGTTGAGTTCTGTGCTGCCAAGGAAGGAGTTTAGTCTAGTGGCTGTTTTCAATACTTCAGAGGTTTAACTTGCTATGTGTGCCCGCTTTGTACTTTTCTTGGGTTGGTCAATGGCGCAAAAGTGACGTGTAAGCAAAGCGCATTTAGTCTTGAGGGGTGTTGCCACAGTTCTTTGGGGGGGGGGGGCGGGTGTCTTTGGTGTTGTTCATTTTAAATTTTGTCACCATCCATTCACAAAGCACCTTTTTTAATCAGTCGGTCACATAGTTCCTACAACAGATGCTTTTGAGTGAAGTCCTCACTCTGATTAGTGCCAAGCTGCATAGCGTTGACTCTTGTATGAATGTGACGTTCGAGCTAATCTGGCATAACTGTCGGAGCTGAGCGAATCTCTGCAAAAAAGGAGTGCTGTCACAGGTATTTAGCAGGATTTTTAAAACTATTGGTTAACGTTTAGTAGCATTTACAGTAATGCGCAGATTAACTCGATATAACGCAAGCATTGCGTTACGGCATGCATCTAAATCATGTTGGCTCAGATTTTTTGCTTTTTTTTTTTTTCACATGAAAAAAGCTGACATGCTACACTGCATTTCAGAGACCTTATTTATGTTGCCAGCTTCAAAAGCACACTATAATCTAAATTGCACCCTTAAATGTTGCATCAATTTTGGGCAAGCTGTCCACTTGTCAGGCACAGTATTATTGAACAGAACTTAGGCATGATTTCTGTGATGCACTGCTTGCTACGTTACACACTTGGAAGGTGCTGGTGTGGGGCTTTAACCAAAAAATTTACAACCACAATCGCTTTAATAGCGATTCCTTTTCAACCAGCCTTTTTTCGATATGGCTGGATAGATACAGACTGTTACCTTTTTTGTAAGCTGAAGTGGTGCAGCCTGAAGATTCATGGGGAGTTTCTCCCTTTTTTGTTAGAAACTCTCTCGTTGGCAAAGGGTGGATGAAGAAACCCATATGAAATGGTAGATGTGAATCCTATATTCTGTAAGTAACTATTCCAACGCCGTCGTTAACTGTGGCACGATTTGAAGCATGCTCTGTAGTGCCTCACACTTGGCACTGGTTATGCTCTTGGCAAACAATCGATATTGCACATCCCTTGTTTTAAGTAGTCTATTACTGAACATGCGTCTTCACTAGCCTTGTTCCAACACTCATTTGTTCTCGTACTTTTTTCAAACTGCGCCTCCGCAGTCTGTGGTCTGGGCTATCTGTCACGGGATGCTCGAGATTCGGGGTGCGAGTCGGTAATGCATACCACGTCGAGGCAGCAGCCACTGAACCTGTGTGACCGAGCAAGGAAACTATTTGTTGCCCTTTTCGTTGTTTTTCCCCTCTTTCTACTTCTACAATTTAAGGGCACTTTGCTACATTGTTCTAAACATTTTTCTCCTTATTTTGTATCAAAATAAAACATGGCAGACTTGAGTCGTAAAAACTTCCTCAGTGGCAGAGTATCTTACTCAACTGGCAAGCATTGACTAGAGAATGCATTTGTTGCTGGTGGCATTCATATAAAGTTGCCCTAAAACATGCAAATGTAAACCGCATTCAACAAAGTTTTCATTGGTGGTTACAAAATACTCAATTGATTAGTTGCCAGCTTAAAGCAAGTCTCTATATTGGACCAATTTTTGCTCATCATAAACATGTGGATCTGGAGCTTGACAATGCAATGACAACACAATGACTAAAAACACCATTACAGTTCGACTATAACAAAATGGCAATGAAGGAATGGCTACAGTGGAACACCAACGATGAAACTAATGTGACAGCGGCTTGTTCTGATGTCGGCATTTTCACTTGCACGAGTTATTTGCTACCCTTGCAGGTCACCGCGCCTTGCGTTACATTGGACACCAGCATACTGTTACAAGACAGCAGCCACCTACAAAGTGGGGGAGAAAGCAGAGAAGAGCTTTGGAATTAAAAGCAGCTCTTTTCTTCCAGACACAAATGTCATTACTGAACATGTCTTGCCTATATACTGCCGCATTTGTGCTGATTGGGGCAAGAAAAAGAGGAGTAGAAGAAAGAAAATGTGCAGGCTTCCTGCTTCTGCCCCAATGTGCAGGCTAAGCATTGTTCTAGCAGTAAAAATTGACAAGCTAAGAAAACATGCTGTGGTAGCTTTGCAGCCAAGATCAAATTCTTAGCCATGTTGGTTGCATTTCTGATGAGCAATATGCATAACACCTTGGTACACTTACTTAAATACCAGTTAGACTCCGGCGGTCGTATCGACCGGAAACCCCCTGTTATGGCGAGTTTCAATTGTTATCCATTTTCACACGTGAAATTCAGTAAGAAGACTAAATGTAGCGTACGCTGGAGTTGATTGGTAGTTTGTGTTCAGTGTGGCAAATCCACTACCCAGAAAGCCAAAGCGGACCTGTTCTCTTTAGCTCAAAACTTTTCAGTGCACATGCAAGAAAATGTGACTTTCTTCTCTGCCAAGGCACTGCGTTTCCAGTCTAATGGGTTACTATGTTGATCGCAAGAAACTCAATGTATTGAAACTTTGAATTGGAAGCAGTGTGCCAAGGCTTTATGGGAAGTTCATTTTATTTTTGTGTGAAGGCACTGTTCTATTTATATCCAACTGTGGGCAAACTTTCGATGGCAAGGGACATTGACAAAAGGGGCTGTAGCAGCTATAGGAATTGCCACTGTGTAGCACCAACAGGACAGTTACTAAATGCCACACCTCGTGATCACTATGCCTGGTAAGGTAGCTCGAGGGATTGCCAAAATCACGCTAGTGGAGATAACGTGGCTGAAAGGGTGACGTGATCGCGCATGAGTTGACATTTCAAGTGAAGTAGCTGTGAGGGAAAATGTCGCTATAGCGTTGTAAAGACCAAAAGGGGAACATTTGCAGAGGAGGGAGAGTTTATTTAGTGCTTGGGTAAATGATAGGTTGCTGAATTATAGGTGTCAGTGTTCCTTACTTGCGATAAACACAATGTGACTTCAAGTTACGTGCGCTAGCCGATACTTGTGCCCTCCAGATGGTTTGCGACGCACGAGCCTGCGGGCCCAGCTGTGCGCGAACCGTGTTGGAAAAAAGAACGTGAAAGAAGAGGCAGAAGTGAATTCTCGAAACAACTAGGCGATTTCATTCTAGCTGTGTTATTATTCTCGGGCACAAGTTCGCCCTGCCTACATTAGCTTATTAAATGTTTTCATTGAACCGTGCGTTACAATATGTAGTTTTTTATTCAATGAACCAAATCTCACCAAGGCATCAAGATGACCATTGCCTAACATGCAACCAATAGTCACAGTTATGTTCAGCTGTCATATAATGGGAAGCCTTGAAGTGATTTCCAGTATCCACAGTGCGGCATAATCATGTTTACTCATGTTCACACCACAGTTGCATATTATAATAGGTATGATATGTGGCCTTTTAGACTGTGCAAGAGTTCAGACTGAACTGAACTGATCTGATGTTATCTATGTGCTATTTAAAATAGCTATTGTTAGGTGGGGCTATGGGACTTGAGCGGAGCAGTCTAGCAAGGTAGTTATCGCAGTTTGTTTTTAAGGCTTGGCTGCCTTGTCGAGCATATTGAGAATGTCGGCCTTCATCGTCCACACTACTTCTGGACTGAGCCTCGCAAACTTCTCCTGCATTTGTTTGAAAAATCTGATGTTCTGTGCACTAGCCCAGGTCATGTCCTCGAGACCCTTGTCAGCTTCGCCAGTGCTGCTTCTGCCGCTTCTGAAAGTAGATTTGAAAGGCAAGCGAAAATCGGGTGAAATTAGCAACCTATTATTACTGCACGACTAAGGCATTCAAGTACCACAGTCGAACGTTAATACAGTGAAATGCCTGTATAATGAAGAGAGTAGGACTATGTTAGTTCTGCGATATGAATGCCACTTTGTTATGTGCATTACACACTTCAGTGATCCCAATAAACCAGATAAACAGAGAGGAAAGATGTTTACGCGAAATCTACAGTTTTCTTGGAATGTGCAGCTAAGCATATTCATTGTAAAACAATTCAGCAATTGAGAACGTATAAATTGTTTAGAGGCAAGTTCACTGTACGGGTTTACGCTGTAGTGGTGTTGAGAATGCGTAGAAGGGGTAGTAATTTGGCTGAGCCACAAACGTTCTTTGTTGCACTACCTGTGTTGCAGCACAAGCATTCATTATAGCAGCATTCAACTGTATAATGAATCAATCAATGAGCAATGTCAATCTGAAGTGATTCTAGCTGCAAGTCGCATGTTTGCACAATTTTTGAACACAGAGAAGCTGCCTCAGATGTAGATTTTTATAACACTGCTTCAATACTACAGGCGGCTTTATGTGAAAGAATTGGTCAATGTAATTACATCTGCTTTACATGTAATACTATGGCAAATTCTCGAAATGGTGTAGCAGGCGCATAGTGCATATGTAGCGGCACGGCCACTGGATCAATCCAGCGGCCGTGGTAGCAGATCACCACTTTCAGGACTTATTACTGGAAGGTTCAAACTGTGCACACATTGATATGCTAAGGTTCGTATATAAACACTTCAGGCACATATGCACTGATGGATGTAAGGTTTATAATGTGTTGCATTCATCTTCAAACGCTCGTGATAAAAGCAGTGCTAGAAGTCTAAATAAATTATATGAAATATATAGGAAAACAAGTCGCATTTTTTTACTTGCTGTATTACGCGAGGCATAATTTTCAAGCAGCTGGATGGGTGCTTTTTAAGTATGCTACGCATGAAGTGTTGATGTTCTGACATTTCTTTGGTGCCCTGGCATGGTCTCCACATTTTTTATAAACTGCAGCAGTACATTTCTTACAAATTTGAATGCACACAAATAGCCCAACTAAATTTTAAACACAGAGTTCGCTGGCATCCCAAAGACCAGGAACACTTGGGCAATTACCACAAACTTCTATCGAAAAGTACCGGAAGCTTCATATTTCACAGAATTCAGCAAGGTCAAATAGCATCACTTGCCGGAAGGCTTGTACATTTTATATTACCTGGGGCGCTTCGGAGACGGTGCCTTGACATTTGACCTTCCTGGCAGATGTTCTTGACTTGTCTCTCCAATTGGAAAGCTTCATAACAGATAATACAATATTTCACACAGCAGACAAGCGCTACACATGCGTGATGGTTCTCTCCCCTTAGTTTTTATGTGCAATGGTATAAAGCACCAACGAGTGGACGTTAACTAGTCAGGGTCATCTATTTTTCTCAACAGTATACTACAGTCTTGACACTTAGTACATTCGGCAAGCGCAGGGCTAACTTATCAGCACTATTCTTCACACCGCGAAATTTGAACTTAGAGCAGCACACAATAAAGCAGCTAGAAGGATACCAGGAGCACCGACCTTTGGGCGAGTTGGTTTTCCATAGCAGAACACATAAGCACATGCACGCAAGGACAGAGCAGAATGAGAACACAAGTGCATTGCAACACAAAACAATAGATTGATACAACAGGCTAGTCAGCAACAGTCTTGCCCTTGTGTTTCATGGGTCCCTCATTCTACACATTTTAAAGGTTAACACAAGTCTTTGAACTTACATTCATGGGGCAAATTATGATCACTTAAACATAAACAATAGCCTGCTGATGAGTCTGTTTAAACTGCCTTCAATACCCCAACAAGTGTCTAATTGCTACAGATGGCATTAATGCGTTGTAGTAGCATCAAAACATGGTTTCAGGTTAGCTTTGGCCGCTAATGAACTCGTGGTATTCGGGCATGGTGGGTGACATGCAGCACCGGGTGCAGCTTCGCATGTTGGAGCACAGAAAATGCCTGATCACAGTACATCTAGTACAATATGCGCTATAGTAAAAATAAATGACACCACTGCAGCTCATCCTTTCTAGGTGACCAGTAGGACGGCCTAGTGAGAACAAAGTGCTACTAACCTTCGTTTTTCAGGGGCTACATGGCTAACTGTGGGCTGCTGTGCAGCATGTTGTTGCAATGGTACATGTGCTCGGCTTGCAGTTTCTTTTCTGTCAAGAAGAGAACAGAAGTGCAAGCACATCTAGACTTTTTTTCTTTTCCATTACCGATACTCTGCGTTGGGAGCAGTGGCTTGCGGAAAGCAACTGACTGATTGATCCTGTCACGTTGGAAAAAGGGCTAGACCCTTGTGTGCCAAAACCTTGCCATATTTGGAAACTCCACGTTAACTGAGACAATCTCTGGTTTTTCGAGAAATCAAAAGCACAGCGTTCAATAGCCCATAAAATGTACTGGCACGTTTGAGTGCACCCTGAAAAAGTCATTACTGTATGCGTTAGAAACCTAGTTTTGGTTTCTATTGTGACCTGATGTCTCAACACCGTGTGAACTTCTCATCGTGCTCGCTTAAGATATGATATTTCAGCCAGGGCCGGACCCAAGAATTTTTTTGGGGGGGGGGGGGGGGGGGGTTTGTAATTAAGTGTAGAATGGCTAAATTTGGCAACTGGGGATCGAGGTGAAGGCATGTAAACGCTTCAGTATCTGAAAAACTAAAGCATGAAAAAATTTCAGGCTGTGCCAAAACCCCCTCAACTCCCCCATAGTTACAACCTTGGTTACAGCCCTGGTTTCTGTGGCCACTCTGTTCCTAGCTCTATTGGTAACACACAAGCAGACATTTTGAATGTTTTGGTACCTGACATCACAACTAGTCATACTAGCCAAACCAGGACGTTTTTTGGCAACTAAGGGGCTTTTCTTTGAGAAATCCCTAAGGATTTCCTTACAGCATGTTACAATTGGGTGGTTGTCGTCATTCCCTTTCTTAACCTTTCCGCCACCTTGTGGGTTTTCGCAGAACTTATTTGCAATACTTGTGTCCATGTGCTATGAGTTGCCGATGAATTCGTCCTCGCACTGTCAATTGCTAGCTTCCTGGTTAGCTCAACTGGCAAAGCAACCGCCCCGGATAGGCATTGGTCCCGGGTTTGGACCCCGGACCAAGACGAATTTTTTGGCAACTGAGGGGCTTCTCTTTCTGAGAAATCCATTCGGATTTTCTTGTGGCTTCGTGCTACAATTGGGTGATTGTCTTCTTTCCCTTTCTAAGATCCTGCTGTAACACTGGATAACCCCTTGACGGCCTAGTCTAAGATTAACATATAAGGGCACTGTTTCATATGCACAGCGTTCCAAGAGAGTATTGCACCTTTAATATAAGGTTGTGTTTTCGCTCATATAGGACTCTAGATTGCATAACAGTTGGCACACAAGGACTCCTCTACAGACCGTGAGCTGCAGACTGGAGCTCGAGTCAACCGTATCAACTTTGTCGTCTGTTATAGATCAAGTGGGTAGTATGCAATGACCATAAGCCTAATGCAGATATTCTAGAAAAGGGTAGTTCACTGCGTAAATGACCAGGTACAGACAACAAAAAAACATCTGGCCCATTGTTGCTTCCCAGGGAAGGCACAGCCACAGATGGTGTAGCAGTGGTCCGAGTCGTTGGAGGTGCGGGTGCACTGCAACCAAGAAATAAACAGCATTAAGTGCTTTTACATGCTAGATGCTTCCGAGTCGCTAAGTGTGGTAACCAAAGTAAACGTAGCAAAAAGGTTGTTAGACAAAAATAATGTGCTTGTGGCCTAATTATAGTAACAAAGCCCAGTGCTACAAATGTTTTTTTTTTTTTAGTGTCCTGCATCTGAGCACTCTGACACTAGGTAACAACATGTTACTATGTTCAAGTATACTAATTGCCTTGGCTATCAGACAAATATGAAGAGGTTTCAATTAAAGGCATAAGATATTCAATGTAGAACATGTGCCAATTGACATTTTTTATTATTCGGTTACCTCTGGTAGTACCAAGATTAAGAACACATTCTCCTTCTCTATGTTACTGTATGTAGAATGTTCATGGATTCAAACGTAACATGAAGTTTTTTTAGAATAATTGGTATGCACAATTGTTCGTGATAACAAAGTCAAGTCATATCAAATCTGGTTAGTAAAGATGATATTGGCTTTGATGTACATGTCCGAATCAAAATTATGCCTATATAACCTGAACTGAAAAGTGAGCAAATGCAAGTATGTGCATTACTTAGCCCTAAATTGTCCTGTTCTGTTTCAATCCACGAGTATTATACTTGCAAAACATTTTTGGTGTTGGTAAAGAATGCTTGGATTAGGCTTTGTTACTGCGGGCAGTCATTGTAGCACACACCACAGCATCGCACATTGCTGCAAGACCTCGCCAAACAGGATTTACAATTACGTTTGTGTAGCCTTTGCAATGGTGCCAACAAATTATAAAAAAAATGGTATGCTTTTGTAAACAAACAATTGAGTGAGGCAACACAAGTGGTAGTCGTTAGTTATGGTGTACATATGCTGCACCCATTTATCTTTTAGCGAACTGGTCACATCTAATATTTGTGTGATTTAGATTTCATTTGAGCATGTCTGTGCACTATTGCTCATTGCACTCACAACATGTAAACTGCATTCTCAGTGTTCTTGATTGTGATAACATGGCCTAGCTTTCTCTCTAATCTCCTTTCAGCCCCCCCCCCCCTTAAGACTGGAGTTAAACCCTTACCAACAAGATAAAAATGTTCTTTTATTTGACTGTTGTAGAATGAAAACCTCGTTTTAACAAGAGCGCACATTTCATCTGACTTTTTGCTAAAAGCACGACTGTCATGTTGACATCTGATAGTAAATTTATAGTAATGTAAATGAGAGTGTCACAAAAAAAGCACCTTGATTACTCTTTCACAACAAGATTTGCAGAAATATTTAGTGCACAGAAACATTCAATAATTCATTTTCTACTGATATAATAAATTATTAAAGGTGCTTGTGGCTATAATATCAATCAAGCCAGTTGACTGAAAGTAGTTAAATCGATAAAAAGCACCTAAGCAGCATAATATATATATAAAAGTAAGCATTGTCCTTCATAATCTGATTGTGGGCACTCTAGAGGTATATAAAGAATGTAATGGTGTAAAGAGGAGAGAGTTTGAAACGAATGCTTGCTAGCACCAATTATACTGTGTCCTCCTTGTCTTGCGTCTCTGTCTTGATCACATTGATTTTTACAGAAAGATGTACCTTCAAAGCATTCTTTTTTTTTTTTTTGCTTATTCTGGTTCCTAACAAAATAAGAGGGCATGCCCATACTTACGCGGTCAGATACTGTAGAGGCTTTCCAGCTTTGGCACTTTCTAGAGCACTTCTTGTGACGATAAATAGTGCATCATCGGTCAGTGAGCTAGTCCTGTAGCAAGGAAATGACGTTAATACCGCATGTGATTTAACTTGACAGGATAAATTGACTTATTCACAATAGGTTACAAGTTAGGCTTGAGCATACAAACCCTGTTTTACAGATTTTTTCATCATTAGCTGACAGCCATTGAAAAGCATTGACATTGATTCCCTTGTGAATACCCTCCTTGGCCGTCTACTTGAAATTTTAAAGTTGGAGAAGTTACGTACTAATGATGCGATGACTGAGCAAGCAGCGAAGCTGGTGGTGACGTCCTCTTCCTTTTCCTTCTTGCTCACTATTCTTTCCCACCCTTTACTATACCATACTTTACAAAACCATACTTAGCTTCACCCTATTACTTTGTCCTTTCCCTCCACCTCGTCATAACATTCCTTTCCTACCCCTTGCCATACCATACCTTGCAAGGCTTATCATTCTTTACCCTCTCACTCCGTCCTCTCCCTCAATTTCACCATCACATTCCTTTCAGACTCCTTGCTACACTATACTTTGCAAAACTATGTTATGATTTACCCTCTCGCTTTGTCCATTCCCTCCAACTCACCATAACATTCCTTTCTCACCCACAAAACTCTTCTATGCCTTACCCTATCACTTTGTCCTTTCCCTCCACCTCACCATCACATTCGTTTCGCACCCCTTGCTGTACAATACTTACCAAAACTATGCCATGATTTACCATCTTATTTCGTCCTATCCCGCCACCTCACCATAACATCCCTTTTCCAACCCTTGCTATACTATACTATACAAAACTTTACTATTCTTTACCCTCGCACTTTGTCCTTTCTCTCCACTTCACCATCACATTCCTTTCCCATCCCACAAAACTATTCTATGCTGTACCCTCTGACTTAGTCCTTTCCCTCCATCTCACCATCACATTAATTTCACAATCTTTTTTATACTATACTTTACAAAGCTATGCTATGCTTTACCCTCTGATTCCATCCTTTCCCTCCACCTCACCATCACATGCCTTTCCCACCACATTCTATATTATACGTAGCTATGCTTGCTTCCGTTTTTAGTCTGTTTCTATCTCGGTCTATTTTTTTCTGTATCTTCTTATCCGTTTTTCTCTTCCCTTCCGTTTGTTGCACATTGTATGTGCAGCTAGAGCAAGTACAAACAAGCATTTTCGATAACTTATTCATTATTGATCGATTATTGACTGTTGGTTGCTTCTCACAATATATTGGTCATGCATTTTTGTATCAAACTAAGCTCATCCAAGCATTTTCTAGAATTTATTGGTAATTGAGCTAGTTATCTATTCATTGGCTATGAATTTGCTGTTATTTCTTTGTTGATTGGCTATCACTTAGTTTGGGCCATGCTGAGTACACCCAAGTGTGTTCTAAAATTATTGGTTAATTATTGATTATTAAGTGGTAGTTGATTTGATATTGATCCACTCTCGCTATGCATCAATGGCTGCTAAGAGCTTCTTGGCACATCTGCGCTTTCAGTGGCGCCTACCTGCCGAATTCTTGGGACTGCCACACAGAACGAAAATCTTAAAAAGCTCTGCTGTTTAAATGACATTGAAACAATAGCCACCAGCATAGCTTCATGCAGTTATCGATATTAATGCTGAGTAGCAAACGCCCGACGAGAATATGACAACAGTGTGTGCAAGATAGTTACCTGCCTATGAATGCACCCTTATAACTATAAGGCCGAATCCAGGCTGACATCTAACACACCACCGTGTCACTGGCCTACGTTGAGGCACACCATTTTTTGGCCCGTCTTCAAAACTCCAATGCTGGCAATGCAGCCGACTTAATTGGCAAGCTACATTAGAGAAGAACAGGGCAATAAAATGCTACGGCACGAGGGTCATTGGTGTGATGATGATGACAGGGCGTAGCGTTTGGTGGCTGCATGAATCATGCCTATCGTCGTGTCACAGCTACCTGAATTCATCAATCACTTTCTTAGCATTAAGGCCACAATCCTAGGCTAATATGCTGTGTTATTATGAGGTGACAGCGAGGTGGTACTGAAGATGATCAATGAACATAACTTCATTCAACTTTTGAGTTAGTCAAGATAGTACTACTGTATAGATACTAGTACTGTGCCTTCTTTCAGAGGGTGCTCAAAGCAGCTGCTGTTGAAAAAGCACACTTGCCCATCTGATCCAGCAGACTTGGTCGCATCTTTCCTTTCCCTTTTTCTTGGGCTCTTGCCTGGAGAACTATTGAAGGCAGAATTTTTTCAATGAAGAACGAAGGTTAACCAATAAACAAGGTGCACATGTGCAGAACCCTGAGTATATAGTTATCTGCAACCACTAGGACAGCCCCCCTATTGCAATCATTTGTTTATTTGTTGCCAAATTTAAATGCAGTGGTGATAAGAAAATCAAAAAGGAAGAAAGGACAACTTGGTACAGAGCCAAGCCCATAACCAATCAGTGCCATATTTGTGAAACATCTTCCTCACTTTATCATCATTGCCAAAAGGCCAGCATCGTGGCCAGATGTATTCATTTATTTTCTTTATTTGGAATTACCCTCAGGGCCAGAGGCATTGTAGAGGGGAGTGGTACATTTAAAAGAACCACAGTACAAGCTTTCTTCTGTAAATACAATGTTAGCTAAAAAATAACAGTACAAGTTGTATCTATACAGGCGAGAATCAGACTGTTGGTGAGAAAGCATATTAACAGTAAAAACAAGTTACAGTAGCAGTTTTAACACCCCAAACAAGAATCAGACAGTTTGTCAAGAGAAGAATCACATAATTGGTTAATTGCATAGCAGTACACTTGAGTTTAAAACGTCATGAAAATGAGAATGATGGACAATTGACGTCATTGATCCTGGAAGATTGACCCTGGAACTATCCCAAGCCTCAACCATAGCAATGAATGTAGATGTTTCCAACCTACAGAACTCTATGTATGTTTAGTGCATTCTTATACTATATGGGGCACTATCTTGAGGGACCCAATGAACTTGCCTTATTTGATGATGAAAGATTTCCGAGGGAAATTATGCCTGTACTTAAATATGCAAGAATGTAAAAATAATGTTTATTTTTTATTGATTGATAGGTATGTGGGGTTTAACGTCCCAAAACCACCATATGACTATGAGAGACGCCGTAGTGGAGTACTCCAAAAATTTAGACCACCTGGGGTTCTTTAACGTGCACACAAATCTGAGCACACGGGCCTACATCATTTTTGCCTCCATCGAAAATGCAGCCAGTTTATTTTTTATTGCTTGAAGAGTAAGCTTAAGCCTATGCATCAGTGCTTTGAGCAAAACCATGACTTTCTTATTTCCGACTGTTCACTCTTTCGCTCTGTTCAACATCGCATGGGTTTGACAGTTCCCAGCCTTGTAGCCTGCTTATGGGCGTAACAACCGCATAGGCTGCTCTTGAGCTCTCTTGCTAAACTACCTTAAATATTATTTCTGAATTCCCTAAAGAAAGAATTAAGACACTGGGTACAAACTCTCTGAAATGTACCTAAATATTTCGCAATGCTGTGACGTATGAAGGGACATTATATTTGGCCTTAGAATATCCATTACATATGTTTAGCTTACTATAAAATTAATAAAATATACAACACATGTTATGATGTGTGTATGCGTGTGTCCAGGTGTATGACAGTGACACACATACTTTCTGTTTGCTGCTTCATCCAGAAACTTCAGTGAAGACCGCAATTCCCACGCTGTAGTACAGTCTTTCCTTGCCTTGACAAACTGGTGTTTTATGGCCTTCCATTTCGTTTTGCACTTGGACGCTGTAAAAGAATAGCGTTATGTTCAAATTACATTTCACTCGGTAATTCACTGTAGTGCACTGCAGTTCTAAGTTCATACTTTGGACAAGCCGGTACGGGGGTATGATGTGAATGTGCAGGTTTCGAGGTGCTACGGTTTCGCTTTCTCGTTTACGTTGGGCACTCTAGCCACAGAACACCTATGCTCTAGCCATGGCTTTCCCTGAAGCAGCAGCTGTAATGACTAAAGTTGTAATTAGTTATATTTTATTTCAATTGCAATTATATGCGCAGTCTCGGCTGGTTTTTTGCCATCGCCGCCGCCCCCGCCGTCATTCACGTATATACGGGGAAGGATATACGTTTGAAGCAAAGACAAGGGCAAACTTTCGCTCAGCCACAGATCTCCTGACGACATGCTAACGACATGTCTGCCGATGCGTTTCGCTGGTGTTTTCGGTCTGTCATGTTACACTACGACGGCATCAGGGGCGGCGCCAGGGGGGGGGGGGGGGGCAAGGGTGGGCTGGAGCCCCCCCAAAATTCTCGCCTGCCCCCCCTATGCCCACCCAAGTGCCCGGAAGCATATATTGAAAACCTAGTAGGAGCAGAGCTAGCTTGCCCCCCCCCCCCCCCCCGGAGGAACTCACTTTTCGTGGTTGCCCCCCCCCCCCCCCCCCAGTAAAAACATCCTGGCGCCGCCCCTGGACGGCATGTTGTTGTTGTCATTTGAGGCGTAGTCGTCGGCCTAGTGGGACCATGGGGTCTGGCGACTTCTTCAGTGGGCGACTCGTCGGGGTCGTGTAGTGAAAACACGCCTTTACACCACCGTTTTGTAGAGTTACACGAGATCGGATGCTAGCCTTGCTTCGTAAAACATTCGGATCGGATTCATTGCTTCGCCTTTTTGGCAAAACTGTTTCTGTTAGGCATACAAGAGCAAGCAGCGGCAAATCACACTCACGTTGCGCTCCAAGCTCGCTGGCGATCGCCTTCCATGCGAGCCGCTGCGCATTCTCGTTGTGAAATCCTTCGTGAGATATATCGTATAATTCCGGATAGCGCTCAACACGTTTACAGAGCTCCACAGCGAACGGGTGGTCCGACATAATTCAGCGGCTCAAATTTGGGGTAGATCGGGATCTCCGGCCCGATCGAGTTCTACGCGTGCGCGTGGGTGGAACTAGATCGCCGCAGCCTCTACCCCTCTACCGCGTCGACAACGCGATAAGTTGCCGTTTTTATCACATCGTGTACACGTACACGTTGCGCACAGCCGCCGTGTGCAACCACCTCCGCTATCGACTTCGGCAGACGTATGTGACGCAATGAACGCTCCGCGACACGCTGCGCCAGCTCCGCCACTACGTGACTCGTTGCTACGTCTGATTACGTCACCAGAGTAATTCCTCGAGCCGATATGGGCCGTAACCGATTACGTACTGTACGCCACCGACGCGTACAGCGCGGTGGGCGAAAGCACGCGTGTCGTTGCCAGGCTCGCTACATCCCAGTGAACCGCAAATGTTGTGTAGACATCCATGGTATATTTCTCGTGGTCATTGTAAGTGTCACTTAGATATCCACCGAAATCCAAATTACGAAGATTAGATGTGCCCGCAACTGTGAAAATCTCGTCCGAGTAAAGGTTGCACATGAACATTGAATGGACATTCCATAGATATACATAGATATTGTCATTTAGTAAATAAAAGGTTTTTCATGCAATTCGCACACTTACCGCATGCAGCTGGTGTGTTAAACCTGTGGTCCCACGGCAGTCTTGCTCATTGCCGTTCAGCTGTACTTTATAGAAAGCATCAGAGGCGTTAGGCTGGCCGAACTGATTTATATGTGGGGTCATCATCATCATCAGCAGCAGCAGCAGCAGCCTGACTACGTCCACTGCAGGACAAAGGCCTCCCCCATGTTCAGCCAGTTAACGCGGTCCCGTGCTTCCTGCTGCCAATTTATACTCGCAAACTTCTTAATCTCATCTGCCCACCTAATCTTCTGTCTCCCCCTAACTCGCTTGCCTTCTCTGGGAATCCAGTTAGTTACCCTTAACGACCAGCGGTTATCCTGTCTACGTGCTACATGCCCGGCCCATGTCCATTCTTCTTGATTTCAGCTATGATATCCTTAACCCCCGTTTGTTGCCTAATCCACTCTGCTCTCTTCTTGTCTCTTAAGGTTACACCTACCATTTTTCTTTCCATTGCTCGCTGCGTCGTCCTCAACTTAAGCTGAACCCTCTTTGTAAGTCTCCAGGTTTCTGCTCCGTAGCTAAGTACCGGCAAGATACAGCTATTATATATTTTCCTCTTAAGGGATAGTGGCAATCTACCTGTCATAATTTGAGAGTGCTTGCCAAATGTGCTCCACCCCATTCTTATTCTTCTAGTTACTTCGATCTCGTGGTTCGGCTCCGCGGTTATCACCTGTCCTAAGTAGACATAGTCTTTTACAACTTGAAGTGCACTATTACCTATCTCGAAGCGCTGCTCTCTTCCGAGGTTGTTGTACATTACTTTCGTTTTCTGCAGATTAATTTTAAGACCCACCTTTCTGCCCTCCTTGTCTAACTCCGTGATCATGAGTTGCAATTCGTCCCCTGAGTTACTCAGCAATGCAATGTCATTGGCGAAGCGTAGGTTACTAAGGTACTTTCCATTAGCTCTTATCCCCAACTGTTCCCATTCTAGGCTTCTGAAGACTTCCTGTAAGCATGCGGTAAATAGCATTGGGGAGATTGTGTCCCCCTGCCTTACACCTTTCTTGATTGGTATTCTGAGCATTTCTCTATTACCTGATTGATAGTGTGAATGTGGTCGATTGGTGAGTAGCCTGTTCGAAATCCTGCTTGTTCCTTTGGTTGATTGAATTCTAATGTTTTCTTTACTCTCTTAGAAATTACCTTTGTAAATAGCTTGTATACTACAGAAAGCAAGCTTATTGGCCTGTAATTCTTCAAGTCCTTGTCATCTCCTTTCTTATGTATTAAGATGATGTTAGCATTCTTCCAAGACTCTGGTACTCTTCCCGTCAGGAGACACCTCGTAAACAGGATGGCTAATTTTTCTAACACAATCTGTCCTCCATCTTTCAGCAGATCTGAGGTTACCTGATCCTCACCAGCAGCTTTGCCTCTTTGTATGCTCTCCAAAGCTTTTCTGACTTCTTCTATCATTACTGGTGGGGTGTCATCTGGGTTACTGCTAGTTCTTATAGTATTAAGGTCGTGGTTGTCCCGGCTACTGTACAGATCCCTGTAAAACTCCTCCGCTATTTCAACTATCCTACCTATATTGGTAGTTATTTTGCCTTCTTTGTCTCTTAGTGCATACATCCGATTTTTGCCTATCCTAAGTTTCCTCTTCACTGCTTTCATGCTTCCTCTATTTTTCAGAGCGTGTTCAATTCTCTCCATGTTATATCTTCTTACATCGCATACCTTACGCTTATTAATCAACTTTGAAAGCTCTGCCAGTTCTATTTTGTCTGTTGTACTTGAGACTTTCATGATTTGACGCTTCTTAATGAGATTATTCGTTTCCTGGGAAAGCTTGCAAGTGTCCAGTCTAACTACCCTGCCTCCAACTTCCACTGCACACTCCGTAATGATAGTCGTCAGATTATCATTCATTATATCTATGCTAAGGTTGGTTTCCTCACTAAGAGCCGAGTACCTGTTTTGAAGCGAGACTATGAATGCCCGTACTTTCCCTCTCAGTGCTAGCTCATCGATTGGCTTCTTGCGTATCAGTTTCTGTTGTTCCTTCTTCAAGTCTAGGCGAATTCGAGATTGTACCACTCTATGGTCACTGCATCGTACCTTGCCAACCACTTCCACATCCTGCACGGTGCCTGGGTTTGCACTCATTATCAAGTCTATTTCGTTCTTATTTTTGCCATTAGGGCTCCTCCATTTCCATTTGTGGTTTCCTCGTTTTTCGGTGGAAGGTATTCAAAATCCGTAAATTATTGCGTTCTGCAAATTCTACTAGTAGCTCTCGTCTGGCATTCCTAGTACCGATACCATAATCTCCTACTGCCTGGTCTCCAGCCTGCTTCTTCTCTACCTTTGCATTAAAGTCTCCCATCAGTATAGTATAATGCGTTTTTACCTTACTCATTGCTGATTCCACGTCTTCATAGAAGCTTTCAACTGAAGCATCATCATAGCTGGATGTAGGCGCGTAAGCCTGTACAACCTTCATCTTGTGGCAAATGCGGCGATGGCGTAGTGGTTAGAGCATCCACCTCGCATGCAAAAGGTCCGTGGTTCAAATCCCGGTGCCGTGCGGTTCCCAAACGGATTTTAAAAAAACGCGTTGTGATGGAACTGCATTAAGAGGCCTAGAGTATGGCCTCACCGATAATTACGGCCGGTAACGCACTCACTCACCAGCGAAAGATTGGCCACCCTGGTGCAGTATCTGGCCACTACCTCCCACATGCATACGTCAATTAACTCATGACCCTCAGTCCCCAGCTGCTGCGAAGCAACTGTCCACGGTGGCGGTCAGATCTGCAACGCAGCAGAAGGTACTAAGAATCTCTGGATCCGGACAGGCCACCATTGGAACCTGAACTTCGCAATTACGGCCAGTAACGCACTCACTCACCAGAGAAGGATTGGCCACCCTGGTGCAGTATCTGGCCACTACCTCCCACATGCATACGTCAATTAACTCACGGCCCTCAGTCCCCAGCAGCTGCGAAGCAACTGTCCACGGCGGCAGTCAGATCTGCAACGCAGCAGAGGGTGCTAAAAATCTCTGGATCCGGACAGGCCGCCATTGGAACCTGAACTTGGCAAGGGAAGTCTAGCTGTACTATTCGAGAAGCTAGAGGGTGTTAAATGGGATATAATAGGCCTCAGTGAGGTTAGGAGGACAGGTTAGGCATATACGGTGCTACAGAATGGGCATGTCCTTTGCTATCGGGGCTTAGCTAACAAAAGAGAACTGGGAGTAGGGTTCCTAATTCACAGAAGCATAGCTGGCAACATAGAGGAATACTATAGCATTAATGAAAGGGTGGTAGGTATCATAATTAAACTGAATAAGAGATACAAGATATATGTGGGGTATAACGTTCCAAAACCACCACATGAGAGACGCCATAGAGGAGGGCTGTAGAAATTTCGACCACCTGTGGTTCTTTAACGTGCACCCAAATCTGAGCCACGGGCATACAGCATTTCCGCCTCCATCGAAAATGCAGCCGGCGTAGCCGGGATTCGAGTCGGCGACCTGCGGGTCAGCAGCCTTAACCGCAAGACCACTGAGGCCTTAACCTAACCGCTAGACCACTGGGGCGAGGCTGGCAGGATTGCTGTCAGACAACATATTTAAGGCCAACCTCATGGTGTTGATGCTTTCTGTAAGTATAGCACACCACGTAAGAGCCAGATGGCAGTGGGAGCGCAGGTCTCTAGCACACAAAACTCTACATGCGGCAAGCCTGAAGGAAGTGCAGTGCTGGGAATAAGTCTGCTTGAGCTTCCTTTCCTCCTCGTTCTTTTTTGTTTTTCAGTTCTTTTTTCTTTATTTCTCCTCAATTATTTAATCTATTTTTCTTGCCCTTTCTAATTTTTCTTCCTTTTCCATCCCTTTCTATTTCCCTCTTGCTTCATCTTTTCTATTTTTTATGTGGCTTTGCTTGCATTACGCTAAGTGAGGACAGCTTAGGCCCCTAAAGTGCTTTACTCTCAAAAGCACCTTCAGGCTGCATGATTTAGTGCTATCATGTACGGCAGTACTAATGCCACGCATGTTAGTTTTATGGTCATTTGCACGCTTTATCTTCTCGCTCATGTAAGTGTTATGCATGCTCCAACGTTACATGTCCATTTATGTTCGAGCACTTTCTAGATTTTACGTGCCAGTATATATTTATCATTCTAAAAGTCAACTAAAGCGGTTTTGGAAGACAGAAATTTCTGCGATGCATTTGATGTTGAGAGCACATATATGCGACATCAGTTGCGACGTCTAGTTTTTCTCTAAAAGAGAAGTGCATATGACGTTAATAATACGTAGGCTCTCTAGGCTCCAAGGATGGCAAATTATGCCAATGATGATTAGGTGTTACTGATAGACATAAATGCATGGATCTTATTTCTGTGTTGACTAGATATCAGTAGTTCACTGGGATATGATTAACTTTTCTAAAAAGACGATCTCCATCTAAATATTAGATGTCAGTTTACAAATAAGACTACCTGAACTATTCAATCATACGTTAATTGGTACATCTGATGCTTTTTTCAAAGAATGAAATTCAATGTTAATGTTTTATTGCTTGGGGTAATGAATTGTGTCAAGTTGCACAACACCTCAAATAACCTCAGAATCAAGCATTGATTTTTTGCTCAAATCAGCTGTCTAGTTGTTCTCATGAAGAATTGACACAAAAGCTTGCTATATATGCGAATTGCAAAATGAACGAGCATTCTTCCAAAAGCGATCTTTGATGAAGGCACAGTTGCAATTCATACATTGCTGCGCTTAAAACCCTTTGAACACTATGTACACAATTGTGCACACCACTCGTCTTTGCTATTTGCATCAAGTAGAGGCCAGTGTTGCAGAATGGGCACCTCTATTCCACTCCAATTCCATTACAGAAGATTGCAGCTTGCCGTAGTTCCATTACTTTCAACTCATCAGAATGAAAAGGCTTAGCCTATTCCCACTCCGGGAATGGCCGGGCAGGTCAATTCCATTTCTACAATTTCTCAACGTAGGAGAAGCATATTTGGTAGCTTTATCGTGCCGAGAATGATTGTAATAATATAAAGCTAATGTTATCAGATGCATTAAGAACTGCAGAAGTATGCAAAACATGTTCCTACACTCGTGGGATAGTAGCCTGGTGACTTATCTCGTGCAGTACAATCACACCTTTTTCGATAGGGGCAGTCCTCCCACTACCTATGGTATTTGCATGGTCAGCACAACCTTAGGAAGAAAAGTAAGCAAACAGTTGGTAATGCGTGTATTTACTTCTTTCCAGTGTATTTTACTAGCTTTGCAGCATCTCTTTATTGTAGCCAGCAGCTAGTAAAGTTTGAAACTGTTGTCGTTACTAACCAGGAATGCTTTCTTGGTCTTTAACTACGTAACTACTTAGCCCCATACATTGCTAGATTTCTCCAAAACCCCACCGTATATCTAGCAGTAATCGTGGCACACTTTAGAAAATTTAGACCAACCTTAATTTTGTCGATCACTTCGGAATAAAAATTTCGTGCTAAGTGATGACATACATATATGCAAATAGAAGGCAGACGATGAGGTCTACAAAACATCCATTGTTTTTCTAAATTCTGTGGCTACTAACCAGCACACACTGTGCTATTCCAAAGTACATAGGAGCATAAATAGTCTCAAACAGCTGCTACAGTAGATACCGGCTAAGTCCTGATGTTATATGTGCACGTTTGCATGTATTTTCTCGTCTGTGATTCGTTCATGCCTCTATGTATGTTGCATACTTGCCATGGGAATCACGTGAAGTAATTAGTGACCACTAATTAATCTACGTGAACAATGGGACTTCACTTATTCTGCTATATATACTTCTGTAATACAAGTATCTTGATATGGCTATGTACATGCACATATAGACGAGACTTAACTAAAAATTCAATGATGTTATTACTTATTCCAGTCAGCACTATTCATGAACTACTTAGAAAACTAGCAAGTATCACTAATCTGCATTTTACCACCTTCACTTAATAGAAGGTTAGTGCTTTTTCTGACAAGTTAACAGCCCTCCACTGAGGAGCTATCTGAGGGCTCTTGGGCATGCAAACGAGAAAAACAAACACGTAAGGTACTCACAGATGCAAACATGACAAATTTTTTTAGCGCGTCTGGTATTCATAGTTTTTTTAGATAATCACGTTATACCACGACTAGGCTTGTGGGAATATTTGAATGCCTTGATTAGTAAAAAGAATATTAGATTACTTGAAGTCTCTTTGATTCGAATTTAAAATATTGAAAATTTCAAAGTATTCAAAATAGATGAATTGGTCTATGTTTGTCCACATGTAATTTTTTGTAAAGGTGGCTTCACTGCTCTAAAAATGTGCTAAACCATGAAAACATCTCCTAAATATTCATTTGCATGTAACTTTTTGTAAAGATGGTTTCTCTGCGAAAAAGGAATGCTAAGCAGTGAAAACATTTCTAGAAAAAATTTGCATTGTCGTTAAGTTCCACTTCAAAGTTAAATGAATGTATTGCCTTTACATCGATTCATTTTTAAAGTTTAAAAGCTTGTTATACCGGCTTGTATGCTGTAAGCAAAATAATTTTTAAAATGTATCATATTTTACAGGTTATCGCTACAATTCTACTGAAAGTCAAATCCTGCTATCACTCAGTTGTTTTTATTCTCTTTGAAATAAAAAAAAAGATGGCATTTGCACAAGCCTAGTTTCAATATTTAAAAATATTGTGCAAGTTAACTAGGTTACGAAAAGTATGCCCATTTTTTTTTTATAATATGCGACATGTACTAATCATGTTCAATTCGAAATTATGCGATCAAAATTATTATTCTCTTCGAACCTGAAATTCACTATTTGCACAAGCCTAACCATGACTAATCTGGTCTATAAAGATAATGCTGGTTCCGATCTACGTGCAAGCCGAAATTACACCGATACAACCCAAACTGAAGATTTTTAAAGCAAAAGCACGTGCATTATTTAGCCCTAAATTCTCCCATTTCAACACGAGAGTACAGTACATGGTGCCACTGTCAAGTCTGCAATTAGAGCTAGAACACTTAGCCTTTGGTCGAAGGGGCCTGAAGCCTGTATGACAACACCAGCAAAAATTAAATTGATCTACAGAACACCAGTAATCAGTAAAGGATTTAGTTAGGCCAATTTCTCTTCGTTTAATTGCTTCCATGTCACACTGGTGCCATTTCAACATTTGGTAGCGTTCTATATCACAGTGCGATTGTACAGTTTTTCATTTCGATATTTCTGCCTCCACTAGAGCAACGTGTCGGTTTGTTGAAGCCCAGCCACGCACGCATTCATGTCTCATGCACTTCTGTTGAAGTTCACAACGTTGACGATTAAGTTGTCAGAGACAGAAAGTCCAATAATGTTCAATTTTTGGAAGGTCAGTGCATTCTTGTAGTGACTTTGGTACGTAGGCACAGTGCAGAGCGCAGAGCTCACAAGGCAGCAAGGCACTGAAAACATGAGAAAACTGTTTCTAAAAATTTTTTTTATTGGACAAAATGTCACAAAAGGCACTTGGCTCTCCTGCTGGTGTAAAAATTTGTCTCACCTTTAAACTTGAGATTCTAAAATATAAAATTCCAACATTTAAAGGAATGAAAATTAAAAAAAAACAAAAAGAATTGCAATGTATGCAAAGCAAGAAAAAGCCACACAACTTGCAGTACTAAAATACACTGTCAATGCATTGCCAAAAAAGGTACTGTTTTGCCCAAGCTCCCCATGAATTGTTCCTTGTGTAAGAAAGCACCTTACTTTATACAACCAAAATATTCTTATGAACTCGAAGGTAAAAAATAATGAACGGCTAGATAGAAATCCTCAATTATCTGCTGCCTCATCTAGCATTCTGAAAATGCTGGCTTTCATGGTTGATGCAACTTCAGGCCTGAGCTTATCAAGCTTTTCTTTCAGCTGCTTGAAGAACTTTTGGTCCAGCGCGGCTTCGAACTTGATGTCTGCTAGTGCATCTGGCGGGTTGTTGGCCTCCACACCATTTCCTTCGGTTCTGAAATCACAAAATGAAAAACTGTGCATTGATGTGTGTAGCCATACAAGTCAGCCATTTTTTAAATATCAAGCAGAGTTTTTCCTGTACCGAGGAGTTAAAAATTTTGCTGTGCATCATTTTCTGCTTGAAAAAAATCACAGGCCAAGAAAGAGATGAGTCAGGTTTAAGACCTGGGCAAGCAGGTGCGACATCCTGCCAAATTGGTTGGCAACAAAGATGAAGAAACAAGACAGCTATGTTGTTCTGATCTCGTGTGTGCAAGTTTTTCTTGCATCTTCACCTCTAGCGCTGATTAACTTTGCAAGAGTTGCAACGCATCAAGTGTTTGTAATGCATGCAGGGTGTATTTCTTTGTTTCTTTTTCTTTCCTTTTTGAGGTTCACTCAGTGTAGAAAAAGACAAAAATCACACATTCATGTAGTCGTTAATGCGAAGAAAACGGCGGTCAGGGCTCTTAAAAAGTGTCCCTCAATCTCCTCCGAAAACCTGACATGTTAAGCAAATGCCTGCATCAAAATCAAAATGCTGTTGCAATGGGCAATGCCAAATGAGGCAGTGCTATGAACCACAGGCATGCTACTAATACCAAAAAACAATTTCTTTTCCACTCCAGGTCTTTCGGCTATCACCAGCGTTGGCCGTGATGTTACCATTCGCGTCTGGCCGCGTCATTCACAAAAAAAAAAACCTGATCATCTACTCATAGGTACGCAAGCTTGCTGCTCTTCCTCCTCACACAGCGAGGAGCACTCAACAAGGAGATGAGATGAGTCAATGACCAGAGGTTGGCAAAGGAGAGAGCGAGGAGAGTGGGGGCCATTTCTGGATCATTAAATGTGTGACTTCGCTATTACGGCACTGTTTAAAAAGTCTTCGTGGCTACGCATTTGTTGAATGCTCGTGCACAAATGCAACATCACCAATTTTTACCTGCGAGTAGAGTTTAGGGGCCCTGTAAAGATGAAACCCTCCATTAGGCAAACTTGTTCCCGGAAACAAGAAGTCAAAGTACAAGCGATACATTCTGTGCACTGATTACGGCAATCACAGTCGTTGGCTGTGAGTAATGTGCTCCCTGTATTCAGTTGAACATAGCAGACACTGACATAAAAGATGAATAGGTACCAGAAACACTTGTGTGCCTAAGTTAAAATAGGGGTTGATAAGAAAATGCGTACATAGTACCCTGCACCTTGTATAATAAAAGACGAAAATTGCTGCCCGGTGCATGTTTTTTATAAAGGGGATTAACTATAGATGTTTTATTTAACATTCCAACGCTATCAGTAGTGCTCACGTCAGCCCTAGAATAAACTCAGACGCTCATGTCATTATCTGAACAGAGCAGTTGGGAGCAACAGGGAAGTTCTTAAACACTGCGGCCTGTGACAAGCTGTGGTTACAAGTGTAACGAATCGGTTACACGAAAACATAAAAAGCGCACGTGGCGATACCGGGGAAAAGGCACGGAGGCTCACTGGAATTGTAACAACTGGTTTACTACGCTACAGAGTTTCGCACAAGGCCAATAGAGAAGCAAGGCGCGCAGATCATGCAGAGGCTATTCCAATCTGAAAATACCAAGCAGCTGCACAATAGAAAAAAAGAGCTGAAATTTTAAATGCCACACTAGCTAAGCTGTCATGGCAATCTAATAAGTATTAAAGAGATTAACAAAGAGGGGAGATGAAAATAAAGAAAAGTGCTTTTTGTAGCAGGTTCTCTACAGTATTTACTGTAACACGAGCTTTTCTCCCTGATTTTTGCTACCTGAAGTCGAACCTCGCATTACAATCAAAACAAAAATTCACAAAATTTGGGTTGTTCAAAAAAGTGCAATGATGCACACATCTTTTTTTTGTTGTTTTTGCATTACTTTTTTTCTTTTTCTCGGCGCCATGAAAGGTCACCTTTCACGTTACAATCATGGTCACATTACAATAGAGTAAATGTAGTTATCTAAATTGGCAACCTCTCCATGTATGATGAACAATATGCACTACGAATGGCAATATTGATGGCACACCTTACAGAGTGGTCCGAGGTGAAACATTCGACAATGAATAAAGCCGACACAATTCGCATATGAACTGTACAAAGTGCTTACTTTTGGCGCTTAGGCTGAGGTGGTTCAACTTGGGCGTCGTCCTCCTGAACTTCTAAAATCGTTTCAGCAAGTGCAACCCTTAAGAAAAAGAAGAGAGCATATTACTTCATAGTGCCTCAGGTGTTAGCAGTTGAACTTGACACTAGCATCCTGCACACAGATATTCATGGCAGGATCAGTGTCTCCGGTACCTGGCAGGTGGAGGATGAGCGAATGTGCATAAGTTTGTGTGAGTCATCATACGCTTCGGATATTATGGTATTCAAATTCACTTATATTTGAATTTAAATTATTAGAAATTTCAAAGTAGTATTCGAAACGAACGAGTAGATGTATATCAGTCCGCATATAACCCCCTGCAAAAGTGGTTTCACTGCAGTGAAGGGGTGCTAAGCTGTAAACATTTTTCCAATAAAAATAATCAATGCTGCAAAGCCGCCCTTCAAAAACACTGCCGAATCCACTAATAACAATACTCAAGTGCCATGAAGATTCCATTGTTATAACCGATAATCGCTATAAATGGGTTGAATGAAATAAAAGCAAGATAGAAGGATGGCAGGCTGTTGCAAAAAAAATCATTATATCGGATGGGATAAGCCAACAGACATCAGCAATAAGTATGACAAGGCTGCCAACTTTTCGAACATGCTTGAAAGTTCGAGCACTTCCACAGGACCACCACAAGCTTTATAGAACTTATGTATGGCAACATCTAAAGCTTTGGAAGCTGAAACTCTTCCAAGTCTGAGCTTTTTACTTAAATTGCATGTCTATGGCTTCCACAGAACACTAATTATTTCATTTTTTTCTGATTAAAAATTGTGAATACACTAGCATAAAAAAAATAGCTTACAAACTGCTTTCTTGAGACATTACTAGTGATTTTTAGTATTGAGGGAGGGTTTTTTACTTTTTAAAGGGGCCCGCAACAGTTTTCCTATGTATCGTGAAATGGTTTCACTAAAAGATTTTACTGCCAGCAACTGCCACTAAATTCTTTTCAAATCCACCAAGTACAAAAGCAGAGTTTCAAGGATTTGTCACACAGTTAAAGTGAATTCTCTCTCCTTTATACCAGTGAGGGCGCTGAAAACTACTTAGGGGGGGGGGGGGCAATGACAGAAGGCAACAAGCTGTATGACAGCGCATGTCATGACCTTGGGCACTTTCTTTTCTTTTTCAAACGTGCAGGTTCTTTTCAGCGTAATCACGAGTAAGTGCGTGGGGATTCTGGGGCAACTATGCAGCTCGAGATGGTTTAATAAGACGATGGCCAAGAATTTTGTGTTTACGGTGTGGTCACTGGATCTATGGCATCATTTGTTGAAAGATAAGCAAGCGAATCCTAACTTATTTTAATAACTAATTAACTCCAGGTCGTGTGCTGCGGATTTACAATGTTTTGCTCGCATGTTCTCGGGAGCATTAATAACTAATTCGTACCGTTTTCTGACCATGCTGAGAAATTGTTGCAGAGCCCCTTTGAGGGAACACACTTGTATATTTAGCGAGATAGAGACAGAAGTAAGGAAAGACAGGCCTGCATCCTGGCAGTGGGGACACTGCAGGAAATGGAGGGCACTAGGTGCTATACTAGCAGGTTGGCATATTACTACAGTTCTGGCCAATGGTCTGACACAATGACGAGGCAAAACAGCGTTTGCATAGAACGGCGATACTGTGGATGTTCAACACTAACGGGCATTACCTCATGCTTCGTCTTCCCCGAGGTGTGCTGCTCAGTCTAGCCTTAGCAGGAGCTGGCGATGCTGTGGTCACCTTAGGAGGAGCTGGCGATGCTGTGGTCACCTTAGGAGGAGTTGGCGATGCTGCAGTCGCCTTAGGGGGAACTGGCGATGCTGCAGTCGCCTTAGAGGGAGCTGCTGATGTTGCGGCCATCTTTCTCGGGGTCCACTTGCGGTTGCTAGAGAACAGATATTGCCGGTTAGCAATTGAATCGTAGTGGCAGGTTTAAAAAAAAAAAAGCACGAATGACAGTGTGCAGGATCATGCATGAACAATGTTATGAACAGGCTGTCTTTTAATAGACAATGGCGATGGTTTTAATGAAAATTGTGCAAAAACAAGGCACTCTCACTAGCAAAACTATACATCAAGGCTGAAATGCTCTGCCACCAATAAGGTTGCACAGAAATGACTAATCAATAGAAACTTGCTAAATAACATTTATTTTAGACTCAAGAGCAGCTGCATGTATGAAAAAGTCATAGGGCATCACAAGGCATAACAATATTTTTTTTTTTTTGGAGTAAAAAATTCGCAGGTTATTCAAGATAGTAGTAGTACTAGTAATAGTAGTAGTCGACTTTTATTTTCAGCCACAGACTAAAGATAGTAGTCGACTTTTATTTTCGGGGGACGACCTACATTCGAGTTGACTTACAATCGTGCACATATGGTACCCCTCCTCTCTCACGCCTCGCAACGCCGACACAGGCAGCGTCTGCTAAAAAGTTTCTTGATTGAAAAAAACCTACTGCTGGCGCTGCACAACCGTTCACTCCCCACCCCGTATATATACAGGCACTGGATCTTGACCTACAAGGAGTGCTGGTGAGCGATTTATCCTGTGCGCAGCTGAACAATGAAAATCAACAGTGTGCGCATCAACTAAAAGCGGACTGCAGGTCTGTGTGTCCAAACAGCGTGTTCTGCCTCTCATTGCTCATTAGCAGCGATTAGCATGTTCCAGTAGAAAACACCAGCCCTGTGGGCAAGCTAAATTTCCTTCTGTATTCTTAATTGATGGTACGTAAGAAGTGAGACACCTATTTCCAACAATATCTGGCCTTGAATATGGCATATTCACAAGGCTTATTTTGATCAGTAAAAGTGAAATCTGGGCAAGCTGCTACACATTTATCATGAAATTTCAGAGCACATAGAAGACACAGACACGACTGCGAAAATATACAAGCAACTCGGGTCAAAAAGAAGCCTGAATTCGCACATTATAGGCGGCACTGGCAACTCTGATCGTAGCTGTCAACACACAGTATTAGTGTCACCTTAATTCTGAAACACCAACTCATGTCACTAAGTGCTCGTTTATCCCCTACACTGTGTCCTTCTCTTTTGTGCATGCCAGAATTAAGCGATTCCGTTGACCGCACTGTGAGGGTCTGCCGGTTCAACAGAGTAAACCCACGTTAGCTAAAGTGAAAGACAAAAATGAGGAGACTATAAAGCTTCGCCTTTAGGAGTTGAACGCGATATCCTGTTCCTAGTGCATACCTCAAATACTTTTCGAACTTGCTATGTACCCACTACGTGGCCTTAATTGGTTCGCGCTGCTTCTCTCTCTCGCACCCTGCTCTGCTCCCTGCAAGCGGCTGCGCACGTTGGTGGCACCGGAGTTCATTCGAGCAGATATAGGTCCAGTAGCGTGTGTGCTTTTTGTAGTGGGTGACCAGCTTTAAGCCACGAAGCCATTATGATAATCGCATGTTCTTGCTATGCACCCACGATGTGGCCTTAAGGGAATAGGTGCAGTAGCCTGTGTGCCTTTTGTAGTGGGCGACCAGCTTTAAAACGAAGCCATTATGATAATTATATGTTCTGACGCCCGCTGGCGATGGGTGCTTGTACCACGCATTACTAGAATATTTCACATTGCATTGTGAAGCATGTATACAGAACGCATGTGTTTGTAAAGCATGAAAGCTACTTTCACTGCATTTCTAAACAGGGGAAGTTCTTTTTACTGCATTCACAAGCCGACACGTGGTCCTGTGGAAGAACATCCGCTTGCCACGCAAACGACCTGGGTTCGATCCCCACTCTAAACCAGGATTTTTCATCATTTATTTTATTTGCATCGTTCTCAATTTTTCAGTCGCACATAAGTTGATAATTTTTAGTTGGCAGCCAACGGCGCCGACGCTTAAATTTCTGCGAAAAGAGCTCTTTAACGCTATCACAGTAAAAATTCGCTTTTGCCCGCTATCGTTAGACAGTGTTCTCCAAGCCTCAGTAAAACCTATAAATGAGCTTAACGCATTTTTAGATGGGTCTCAACGGCATTCGTACGCTCATTATTTCACCAGGAGTTGTCAGTGACACAAGGCTACCCAACAACAACGAATGTTTATACCAAGGCATGCTGTATGATAATAAACTCTTTAGGTGAGGACAATTGTCTACTCGCTGGCAAGGCTTGTTCAACCAGATAAAGCAACAAAGGTGAACGCCTGTTCGTTCGGTGATGGCAGAGGATATCCAACGATGGGAAGACACAACTTCACAACAGGAAATCTTTCATGTGCTGTTGCTGAGGCAACCAACACACTCAGCGGCAACGCTGGTGTTCGCCACACAACGCGTTTTTTGCCAATGAAAAACGGGGCCCGTGTTTACAGCTTTAGCTTCCAGCATACCATAGCTGCTTTCGTCGACTAATAGTTTTATATTTCCCACGAAGTAAGTGGTGGTTTTTATGGCAACGCCTTTTTTTTTTGTTGAGGTAACGCCCTCCTGCCGATACGCAGCCGCTGCATTCAGCTGACCGATGAGTAAACAGCGTTGTCACTTGATTTGGTTAATCACGATTCATGCATCCTGATTTAGGGAGTATGCAGTATAGGCTCTCAGCAAACAGAAATCTCTAGGCTTGTGCGAATGTGATTGATTTGATTGATTTGTGGGGTTTAACGTCCCAAAACCACTTCTGATTATGAGAGACGCCGTAGTGGAGGGCTCCGGAAATTTTGACCACCTGGGGTTCTTTAACAGGCACCCAAATCTGAGTACACGGGCCTACAACATTTCCGCCTCCATCGGAAATGCAGCCGCCGCAGCCGGGAATCGAACCCGCGACCTGCGGGTCAGCAGCCGAGTACCTTAGCCACTAGACCACCGCGGCGGGGCGCTTGTGCGAATATGTGAATTCACTTAGATTCAAATGTAAATTATTTAAAATTTCGAAGTATTCGAGATAAACAAATAGGTTTATATTAGTCCACATGTGACCTTTCTTTAGAGGCGATTTCTTGGCAGTAGAGGGGTGCTAAGCCGAGCAGCGCTTATCCAAATGTACTTAATCCGCATAAAACTTCCTGTAGAGATGGTTGCACTGCAACAAAGGGGTGCTAAGCTGCGAAAACAACTTTCCAGGAAAACTACGCACTGTCTCGAAGCAAGGTTGAATGAACATATTACCCTCACATCGATTCATCCGTTTTTTTTTTTAAGAGCTTGTTACACCAGCTCATATGCTCTTAGATTAGTAAATTTTAAAACGTAACATGATTTACACGTTATCACTTGCATTCTACTGAAAGTCAAATTCTGCTACTACGTATTGAAAGTTTTTTCCACTTCCTTGGAACCGAAAAAAAAAAAAGTATTTGCACAGGCCTTGTTTCGATTCTTAATCCTGAGAGATATTGTACAGGTTAGTCAGACCATGACAAATGTGCCCTTTTTTTTATAATATGCGATACATAATATCCAAATTCAATTCAAAATTATTCGACGAAAATGACTATTCGTTTCGAACCTAAAATTCACTATTAGCACAAGCTTAGAAACATCTTATAGAGAACTGCTGCTGAAATGGAACAAGCGCTTCTGACAAGACGGGTTTCGTACTCATATTCTGCGCTCTTGTTCATTTCAGTAAATCGAACTTCTGTTAAATCGAACATATCTTCCTGGTCCCTTCACGTTCCGTTTGATGAGAGTCTACTGTATATCTATCTTACAGCGTATACCACGGCACAGCAGCTGTCAGCACAGAGTTCTGGTGTCACCCAATTCATAAAATACTCACACTGCTTGCGACACTGTAGCTTCCTGTGCACTTGCTGCGGGCTGCACTGCAGGCATTTTATCATGGGTAGCCCTGCAATAACATTTTTGTTGTGCGACGCAAAATGTGACCAATGCGTGTTCAAAGGTTTAAGTGGGCAATGAACGGAGGCTTTATAGCAATTATATATATTCTGGGTCGCACTTAGCCGCCAAGACTGGTAAGCTTCTCGCAAATTATGTTCCGCTCGTGCGATAAAGTTCTTTTCGTGCGATAAAGTTCTCGCATTATACTTTTCTTTCATTCGTTTATTTAAAGGGGCCCTGGAACACTTTTACGCAATGGTCCAAAAATGGCCAGTCGGTAGTTCAGGCACCTGAGAACGTATGAGTCAAACATTACAGTCGAACACACGGCCTGGAATTACCGATTAAGGGGGCGGACGGGTCTTTGGAACCGAAAAATCGCGAAAAAAACTTTTTTTTTCTATGGCATTTTGAATTCTGCAAGCATTTTTACACCTGCCTGCCAATCTTCAGACTGCAGAAAGCGATAATTTACTTGTTATATCATTACAAAGAGGACTCGCGAGCTCGATTTGCACAGAATTTGACGAAAAAACACCACTTTTTTCGCGATGCAGAGCCACCGTTTGCCGAATGCCATAGCTACGATCTTGGCCTCGTTTGAAAGCACGTTTCTCCATCTTCTGATTCCCGCGCAAACAACCTTGCTGCGCTCATTGGTTGCCGAAAAAAAGCAACTGAAAAAAAGCAATGTACGGGACGCTATTCGTTGCTGAGTGCACGTGACCATGAGGTGGCCACTTCATTGGCTGATTGGGCTCACATCGTCTGCTCGGCGCGTCAACAACGCGCAAACGTGTTTTGCCGCCATACCACCTGTGCTTTGACAGGGTGCTCGCGATCAAAGTTGTTGCAATGCCAGGATCATCGCGAAAGTTTTACACCCGTGATAAGTTCAGTAAGAAAGAAGAAAGGCTCAGGCGAACAACTTCAAGGCGCATCTCTTGGTGAGTAGCGTCAACGAAGAACGGCATGGGTCGCTCGCCGATGACCCCGATGCCGCCGACGCAAGCTTGACGGCCTCGCCAGCCTGCAATGTTCCCAAACCTGACGCATCGCCGGCACATCCATCATCGGAACGTGCAGGTGAACATTGCGCACATCGAGACTCCACGACCGCCATCTCGTCCGCCGACGGTGAAGGAATCACCGAGGCGATCGATGAGGAGTTAGACCTAGTGGGTCCGCCAGCCACCGACGCTTCGCAAAGCAGCAGCCGCGTCCGCCGTGACACAACCTTGCTAACAGAACTGGAGCTGCAGGTAAGGCGTACAAAGGCCGATTCGAGGCTGCAGCAATTGGCATCGACAGCCGCGTCGAAGAGAAAATTTGAGTTTTTGAGAAACGATGCACCAGCTGGCGCTGCTCCCCCAAAGCAAAGCGAAGAGGAGACAAGTTTTTTGATCGCCGATCTTGGCTGCATTGGTCAACTGCTCAATGCCATGAGATGTAAAATTTGCCACGGAAGTGTCAGTATTCACAGACAGGACAGGAATAATGGCCTTGCTGTGAATATGTGTGCGTGTTGCGTGAACTGTGGCGACATCGCACAAGCGTGGAGCTCTTCGCGAGTGGATGGCGCACAGAAAGTAAATTCGTTCACCGTCAATACTATTCTCGCCGCTCGAGCCATGCAGGCTACTGGGAACCGTCAAGCGGCTATGAATGATATATTTTTGACCATGAATATATCTCATCGCGGACTTCACAAGAAAACGTAGAAATATGTGAAGCAAAAATTGACACCTGCAGCTAATCGCACGGCCGAAAAAGTGATGGACGAGTGCGCGAGTGCAGTTCACGAGCTATACAAGGAGCTGCATATTGACCATTCCGACAGTATTGCAGTCTCGTACGACGGCTCGTGGATGATGCGCGGGCACTCGTCCCACATATGCGTGGGGGCAGTGATCGAGCTCTTCACTGGCCTAGTGCTGTACTAAGTGGTTTTGAGTAACTACTGTGCTGGGTGTGAGCGTGGACCGAAGGTAGATGACCCGGCATATCAGGCTTGGTAGGACAGCCACGTGTGCCAAAAGAATAGTACAAAAAAAAGCTGGCGAAATGGAAGTTCAGGCAGCTGTGCTCCTCTTTGAGAGGTCCCTGAAAAAAAAAAATGACCTGAAGTACACGACAATCTTGTCAAATGGTGACAGCCGCACCTTTATAGCTTTGCAAGAAGCGGATGTCTACAGCTTCATAAAAGTACAAAAGTAGGACTGTGTCAATCACGTCTAAAAGCATATGGGCACTGCCCTACGCAATTTAGTAGCAAGACAAAAAGAAGGAGCCTGTGAAACCCTTGGAGAAAGGGAAAAGCTCACCAGAGACCTCATCACAAAGTTGAGTTCTTATTACGGCTGGGTGCGTAAATCTCACAAAAAGATGTTGACGCCATGCACAGAGCTGTGATGGCGACTTACTATCACGTCACTTCTAATGATAGTGAGTCGAATCACAGCCTGTGTCCCACAGGCCCATACTCTTGGTGCAGGGAGAATGCAGCTGCTGCCAAAGGAGAGCCAGCTCTAAGGCACCATTACAATTTGCCTCAACATGTGTGCAAGGCTCTTCTGCCAGTATATGAGCGCCTGTCTGATAAAGGGCTTCTAAAAAGGTGCCAAAGAAGTAAAATTAAGAATAGCAACGAAAGCCTTCATTCTATGATCTGGGCTTCGGCACACCTAAGCAGCACCATGCTTCACTGCTGCAGTTGCGGAGGCAGTAATGAAATTCAACGACGGCAACTTGAGGACGTCAACAGGCATCCTCGATGAACTAAATCTCAACCCCAGCCTCCCAAGCATCACACGAATGACCGAGAAGGACAGGTAGCGAGTGGCTGACTTATACCCGTGACACACGGGCAAAAGTAAAGTACTTTGAAGTCAACCCCTTTTGTCGCCTAAGGGGACCATTTGCAGAAAGGAGTGGCGCTGATGACACACGGCACCGGACTACTGCTTTAGGCGGTGCCTCAGAAGAACGCTGCAGAAAAAATGGCGCTGTTTGTGGAAGCAGCAAGATTGGAAATATTAAAATGAATCTGCACATGTACATCACATTCAGCGACGCCGGAGCATAAAACAGTTTTTTTTTTATTGTCTGGTGGCCTATAATGCACATAATTGTAATTTTCTTTCGCTTTTCTGCGTTTTTAGCAGCAACTTAAGTTCGTATGGCAACTATGAAGAGTCGGTGTTTTGCTGTTTTTGTTTTTTGTCGTGCTTTTTACATGGCTGCGTCCAGCTGGGTCAGTGACGGCGTGCCGCGTTTCATCGTGGTCCTGCGATGTCTCTGCGCAGAGACAGAGATAAAGCAACAGTTGATCCGATCTTAACACACTTGCGCCCGTGTACGGGGAATACCGGCGTCGGTGAGGCTCTCGGCAATCGCCTGGTACACTCCACTGTTGTGCTTTTGCCCTCGCAAGGCGTCCAAATGCTCCTCCCATAGCTTTAAAAGCGCCCAGGTCTTCTTTTCAGTCCACTTGACGTGCGGTTTTTTCTTCACCGACTGAGCCGACTCCATTGTTACATGATACTACGTCGCCGACACAGCAACTGCCGCTGCCAACCCCAACATGATCGCGCTAGTGACGTAATGCAGGCGTTTGAGAGTATGGACAGACTTTAGGCCTTCACTTTTCAACAAATCGCACTGCTGCTGAAAATGAAAACATTTTCTCAGCACAAAAAAAAAATACTGACAGGGCACCGCAGTGTTGCGACACGTTTTCTTCAATTGATAAATTATGCACACTGTATGCGAGAGTACTCCCTTCCTGCCAGAAAAGTAGATGCGGGATCTGCTTTTGCGAAAAGGATCTTTGCCGGAAAGGAGTTACTCCTTTGTCGTGTGTCACTGAGCCCGAACACCTTTCCGAAAGATGTCCCCTTGTCTGAAGGACTTCAGGGTGCCCATGTGTCAGGGGCATTAAACCGCAAACGTGCTTCGAGTGAAAAGCTCCAGCAAGCACTAAAGAAGCGCCACTGCAGTGCTAAGCACCAGTCAGACTATGTTCCTGGTGGATATTAGTATCTACTATGTGAAATATGCATTTCTTATTGTTGTTTCTGAATAAAGTGTGTGTTATCTGTTTTCGCCATTTTTCTCAAAATGTGAATTTATGACTGTTTAATCTTGAGGCCTCAATATCTCGGCCGCTATGGCAGCAAGAACAATAATTCTTTTTGCTATAGAAATGTGTATGTGTTTAGAATGCAAGTATGAAAATAGAACTTAGAAAACAAGCCTTTTGAATTAATTATTTATCAAATTTGTAATAGCATGCCAACTGCTTTTTCAGAGTGTAAAATTCAATCTGCCATAAAATAACTAAAAAACCAAATAAAATAAACTACTTCCATTATTTCAATCTTCCATCATTATTCTATGTTGCCATATCTTAAATGGTGCTTTTAATTAGGCACTTTTTTTCCTAACAAACAATGGGGGTTGAACTTGCTTTATCTTGGGAATGAGATGAGTTACAGGATAAGTAATTGCACATTTGAAATCAGCAGAAAAAACTGCAAAAGCCTATGCAGTTTCAAGATCACTGAAGAAATGAAGAAAAAGTGTCTAGAAAGAGTCTGCCCCCTTAATTCTTCAAGTCAGCTAGAAATCGTTTCCTCTCCTCTCGAGAAATGATGCCATATACACAGATTACAGCGCCATATATCCACAACGCTGATGGCTGTTTCGAGCATCCCCATCCGCATAGTTACTGTGGCCTCCACGAACCTATGTGCACCCTCGTGACTGCACTGAAAGTAAGCCGCGCGTTTGGGGGAGGAAGAAAAGAAAAATAAAGATAAAAGAAAATGCTGCAGGCTGTGGCGTGCACTGACAAAGAGATGCATCTTCTTGTCCCCTCGTCATCTCCTTTTCTGCGTAGCTTTCAGCACACTCAATAGTGTAAGAGGAGAGAGGCAGTGCTTTTACCGGGCGACAAATCTCTGTAACTCTGTTCGTACTTGTCTGACTTTATAAAAACTTTTGCAGTAAATCCATTCGTAAGGCATTAAGCTCTTTTATTGAAGCCATTTCATAGTTACTTTAAAAAAGTGTCGCAGCGTCCCTTACATATAGCACAGCAGTCTGAATACTTAGCCGTGTGGCACAACAAAAGCAACAAACTAATTAAGATGCTGTGCAAAGATAATACTAGTAGTAATAAAAAGATTGTCAGCAGAGTTGCACATTATAATGAATATAGTGTGGGTGCTCAATGGGCACATCTTCATTCTTCGTGCACGTTCATGGTCATCACGAGTGTTCCTTATCATCAGTTCTGGGGACTAGGGCTAGACTGTGACCTGCGCATTGGGTGTAGTCGCTTTGCCGTGTCTTGGAGGCCTAACAAAGGTTGCATTAAAGGACCAGTAAATAGGTTCCAACTTGTTCTTTTGCATCTCCCAAAGAAGCTCACTAATTTGTGAAGAAGGCCGCAGTGAATCGCATTTTGCAGACATTAGAGCACTGCCCTGCGTGCAGCCACTCCATTTCGGAAAACAATTCTTGTGCCCTTTTCTGCACTTGTCCAATTCTACTTATATGCAAAGTGAAGTAATCTTGCCGAAAAACAACATTATCATTATATCATCTCGGCTCCGTCAACTGGTCTTCTGAACTACAAAACAGCGCCTTGACCCCGCCATGATGCAGTTCCAGCTGTTTCGGCCGAGCAATCCACATTTCAATTATCTTGTGCTCCCCCCCCCCCCCCCACTCGTATTTTCGGTAGCTCTTCGTGACTACCGGGACAGGTGGCGTTGCAAGAATGACAGCCACCGAGATGACAAGGCCTCCAGCGACTTTACTGCTAGGAGAAGGGTGCATACCTCGGCAGTCTCGTACCCCTCACACCATGCCACCTCCACACACTGCAATGATGCCAATGACACACATATGAAGCCTTGCTCGGTCGTATAACCGAGGTCGTGTTACCCCATAAAAGTGGGCGTGGTCATGACCAATGGCTACATCTACCTATCACCGCTGCTGAGAAGGGCGAGATGGCCAAGCGAAAAACCAAAACCAGCCCAAGTGAGTTGTTCTATACGCTCCAACTTCATTATTAAAGCACTTACTCGCAAAGCTCTTGCAGCAGCATTTTCACATAGTGCACAAGTGTGCAGTTATTTCTCTATCAGTGATATTGGACTGCGAGGTTGTTTACAGGCCGTGTAACTACTGCGTCGCAATAGTTAAAAGGTACCGCTTCCCAGCAAAGCATAATTAGCCAAGTACATTTACATGCAACATTATACTGAAAATCATGATAGTTAGTATCACATGGTCATAGACAGAAAGTTACGCGTAGTTTTCAATCTCGAAGTTACAGTCAACGTCTGATTTCCCGAACCCTCAAGAGACTGCGAAAATGTCCAGAAAATTGGGCAGTCCGGAAAAACGAATGCAAGCGAAAACACACTCTTTATAGCCAATTTTCGCTGAAGGAGAGGGCCGCAGAAGAAATACAGGGTTCTTATTGCAATTCATCAAATGCATTGTTTAGGTGCCTCTGAAAAGAAAGGGAGAAAAGAAAAAAAAATGGCATGCACTGACGCATCTGTAAACACTTGGTTGCATGAAAAAAAAAATCTAATTTTCGTTTGCAAGGCGTTCCACTTGTTTGCGGTGATGTCTGCCTCAATTTCAGCTAGCGTCACATTGTCGCTGTACACCAATGACAGTGTCAGTGCTCGCGCCAACTCTGACCTCGTTGGCTGTGTAGGCACTGCCTCTTCGATCTCGTTCCCGGAGTCCTTGGAATCCTCCGTAACTTGGCAAATGATTTCGTCATTGGTCAATCCGCACAGTCTGTTAGCGTTGGCGAAGCCCTCAAAGGTTATTCCGGCTGGAATCGAAACATTGGCAACGTGCAGATTGTCGAAGACAACGTCTGCGGGCGGAAGTTCGTCGCACAGATTCTCCACTCCATGAAAGACAGCCGTCTCGGCGTCCAGCTCGCGTGGTGAAAGCAGTAGCGGAGGGTCTGTTGCGTAACCGCCTTTCATGAGTAGGCTACGATGCGGCCTAAGATACGGCTGGCAACGGATTGGTGTGCGCTGGATTGCGGCATTTTCGGTTTCGGGGGAGCCGCAGCGCGGTGGGTTTGAGGGTCTGAAAATAACTGAAATGACGGCGTCAACAGTGACAAGTCCACGGTTAGCGGTAAAAAGTCTGCAAAATCGGATGGCGAAAGCTATAAACAACAGTAATTTTGGAATTTTAATACATTAACCCTATAGAGAACTTGACGGTGCCACAGATGAGTCCGGGAAATCGGGCATGTCTGGAATTTCGGCCGTCCGAGACACCAGACGTCAACTGTACACTGCTCACAGAATGCTTTGAGCGGGTAACACATTCCATTCACTGATGGTTCAAGGACAAAAGGGGTTCATGAAAGATTAGCGCATGCAAAGAGAGGTTCAAATGTGTAAGCATGTGCACGTCAAATTTTCTTACGGTGTCCCAAGTTTCGGGACTAATGTTAAACTTACTGGAATAAAGGAAGTGGAGAAATCGTGCTGTTGCAAGCACAAACTGCAATATTTGCAACCTTCAAAGCAATAAAGAACTGAATAAATGAAAAATTGCATCAGAAGAAGGCAAGAGTCCAGTGCCCATATATCAAATGCTGTGCAACAACTCACAATTCTCCCTGGACAACGCCTCGCTACTGCCAGCATGCAACGAAACCTTTCGCAGGGACACGTGGGGAGGTGCAGGAGCAAGTTCCTTGAATGCAAAATAGCGAGCGCGATGACAGCAATGAGAACAGAAGCAACTCCACCTGTGAGATGGCATGGGTATGCGCGTCAAGACAACCTCTGGCTGCATGATCGCCGGTGTACTTGACGCCTTGGCTGTCCCACGTGAATGGCTGCACAGGTCGCGAACACAGCCTGTCAGCTTACGTTCACAGGCACAATACCTTTCCGAACATGTACGGTTAGTCATTCGCGTAAGCAGTTGTTTTGAAGTGAAATACACTCGAACCTCAATATAACGAAATTGCATCGACACGAAAGTAAGTTCGTTAAATTCAAAAATTTGTTCAAAAGGTGTATTCCTAATACTGTATATATTGCAAGCTATTCTTCATTTACTTCGTTATAACCCATATTTCACTATATTCAGGTTTGTTATATCGAGGTTTGAGTGTAACCAGCACATTGACTAACAAGCTTTCAAACTTATGAGACACAAGCTAGATAATTGTACAGCAGTATGTTCCCTCGCCAGACAACTCTAAGTGAAACACTTGATTGCACACGCAGCAGTGGTTATGTTTGGCCCGAATATAAACACTATTGTATCCCTGTGTTGTCATTCTGGAACAGATTCGAGCCACAAGTAGTAGTTTTCATTCTCTTCGAAAATGCTCTTCGCTGTGGGAGCAGGTTCCAAGATAAAACTGAATACCTCGGCAACTTCAGAACGGAGCCTAACTATACTAGGAGTTGTAGTTTACGCACAACTGCTCGCTTTCCCATTGGGATTGTTTGACGGAAAATGCATTGCATGAACACAGGCACTTTTAATGTTGCAGGCTTTCTCAGTTTATCGGGAAACGTAGACCTCGTTTTCGCCTGTCCTACGATTCACTGCAACTGCCCGACATTGACATTACAAAAAAGCTAACTTACAAAGTTGGACAATTACACTTAATTAAACAGTTGTGTATGGATTTATGTATAAAATTACCACTGGCAGTTTCGCAACAAGCATTTTGTATTGTTCACGTAGGACGATCTGGATAAAAAAAAACTTTGTCCACGCTAGCTGGAATGTTCTGCATATCCTACTGGGGCTTTCCAGATGTCTACTTGACTTACTCTGCGTTGGCTTTCCGGGATATGTAGACCTCATTTTCACTTGTTTTATGATTCACTGCAACTGCCAGACATTTAGACATTGCAAAAAAGTTGACTTACAAAGTTGGAGAATCACTCTTACTTAAACAGTTAAGACATTAATGCAAAAGTACATACACTGCCGCCTCCTTGAGAGGAGTGCCAGATGAAGTGCCATTTGCTTGATGTGTGTCGCCTTGGGATGCAGGAGGAGGATCAGTGGTTGCATTCTCATCGAAATGAACCAAGGAAGCCCTGCAACAATGAAGAAACATTGAAATTAAAGCAAGCATATAGTTGTTCACAGAAAGAACATCATCAAACAGAACCGTATAAGCACAGATGAAACAAACTCCTGCTAAAAGGTAATCCCTACAGCAGGACTACTCATAAAGTGCTTTCCACAGAACCCAGGTGTTTTCATTTAAAGGCGCTTTAGAGTTCTGCAAGTGGTCAGAATGAATGTAATATTGTCGTGTTTTATGCCGATAAACAGAAAACTTATTGACTCGGAAGAAGAAACTAGCATCGCACTTCGCATCTGTTGAAGTCATCAAAGGCAGACTCTACAAAACCGGTGTTCTGTGAGCAGCTAGATATGCATGCATCAGGGGCATTCTAAGTTCAAAGAGAAACAAGTACACCATCAATTGAAAAACACACCGTGCACGCGATCTGCGAGCTGAACTTTTGGTTGAGGTGGATCGCACAGGCTCGGACAACTCATTGCTTGGCTCTGGCATCACAGGTTCCGGGGCCCTGCGCGTTAGAAGAAACAAAACCAAGCCTGCGCATTTTCACCAGCTGCGAAGAAGAAAGCACGTAGACTAATGTTGCCGCATTACTTCGAATCCTGATGTACTCAGCAAGCAAATACTAATCTCACCACTTAGCAAGAACACCAACAGCGAGCGATTTGCAGCAGAGCGGCAATGACAGCTTAAAATATCAATCGGCCAATACGAATCCACAGGAAAGGGCTGTATGGTGGCAAATCAAAAACTGTGATTGAACTCAAGAAGAAAGAAAAAAGAATACTGGACTTCAAATGTGACAAATGACAACCGCTACACCTTTTTCGGAACATGTAACGTAGACAGAGATGTCCGAAGCACTGGAACCGTCATAAGAAGCACGAAAATTGCAACATTTGTGCAAGATTTCACACAAAGCCCACAAACTGCTGCAACTGCCATCAAGAGCGACCACACGCTACAACACAAGCAACAGAGAAGAAACATGAAAGGGAATGTTTTGAAAAGCCCTAATTAAACTGCGCTATACTGCTGGATATTTCTCATGCAATGCATTTCTTAAGGGCAGTGCCTGTTTTTTCTTTTTCTGCCTGCGTATTCAATTCTACCTGCATTTTCACTAAAATGCTGGGCCAATAGGTAAACTATACTGCGTGATGTGCTGCAGCCCATGAAATTTTCATGTGCAAGAGCTCACACTGGCGTATTACCATTTGGGACCGGTTTCTCAGCCTACTGTACTTATTCAGATATTGACACAACCAGCAATTAACTCTGGCTCATTAGGGATGTCATTGGCTGAATGACCACTCATGTCAGGTAATTTAGACTATCTGCTGTTGTAACAGCACAACTGCCTTCTTTCGATCCTGATTGAATCATACTCGTACATATATATATGAAGAAAAGAAGTGGACATTTAAGGGCTCATTCCTCTTTATTAGACATATTAATCAGAACTAAGAGACAGACAGTGATGCCAAGGAAAGTATAGGGACCCTATTAGTAGTGATTGTTTAATTTTTTTTCTTACCATTTGGACTACAATTACTACTATAATAACATCTCCTAAACTTCCCTTTGCATTACCTTTAGTCCCCATCAGATTGTTGAAACAAACAAGAACGAGCCTTTAAATTTCCACTTGTATTCAGCCTGTTATAAGATCTCCTGCTACTTGATGCTAACAGGCAGAAGAGTGCCCCACACTCGCCGTCATGGCTACTAGCAGCGCTGACTGACACTCCTGAGTTTTCGAATACGCACACTGTATATACCCCAGGGATGACCATTGCTGTAGCTCAGTTGTCGGAGCATCGGACGCATTATTCAAAGGTCGCAGGTCTAGTCCCTACCAGAAGAGCCAGTGTAGGTGCCAGCTGGTTCTACACAGTGTAAACTTTTTACGTGCCACGAGGAAAGACACGGGAGAACGCAAGCGCAAACTCGCAACTTTTGTGAAACAGTTGTGAGTTTGCGCTTGCGTTGTTATGTTGCCATTTTTCTTTCTCGATCTTTCTCTTTTAGTAGCACACAAAAAATTGACACTTGCCCCTGCCGGCAGCAAGTCATCTTTGCGTCGTCTTTTTTTTTTCACATTTACAATACAATTACTGCTAATAACATCCCCTAAATATTCCATGAAATCACTGTCTGTTAGTTCTCATTAATATCTTACATACACATGGCTGACAACTTAGCTGGTCCTGCCTGAATTCTTTAATTTCCTTTTTACAAACAGGACACCCCACGTTGCACTCTAGACACAGAAGTACATACGTTTCCACAGCTTGCAGTGGCGTGCCAGTCTCGGTGAAGTCCATATCACCAACAGCATTATTAACTGATGACGCCCTGTAAAAGCAAAATTATATTTACACAAAAATAAAACTAGTAAGCAAATCAAAGGTCAGGAACCCTGAGCTTAGTGTTGTGTTGCGTCTTGCTATGATTATGTCTATGTATGGCACAAACCTAGTTTACAACCTGTCGAGGACATTATTACGCCTTTTGTCTTTTTTCTCATTGAAAGTTATGCATGTCATATCGTCACGATTAATAGTCGGCGGCACAACAGAGGAGAACAAAGCGAGCAGTACAAGCAGCTGTTGCTGGCTCTCTGACGAAGACAACGTTGGGATGTCTGCTCTTGTGTTTCAATACAGCCTTGCCTATTCTTGTCACCGAAGTCTTGTTGTTTCTACATTGCGACGTTGGTGGAGGACTTCTACGACTGATGTTCGGGACTCCTCCACGACCAGACACTTCGAGTTCGACACCGCGATACATTCCTACAGTGGATACTCCTGTCCATCACTACAGTCACCGACAGTGAGGCCTCAGTCCTGAGGCAATTTCCTCAGCAACACACTGTCTGGAGAAATACCAACTGGAAGTGCTTCACCGCTCACTGTTCAGCAGCCTCAGATTCCCTAGACCTTCCACAGTGACCTTCTACAGTGAGGTTTATGAACATGCCAGGGACTGGTTAGCCCCAGTATAAGCGACTGTTGAGCAAAAGTTTCACACGCCTACTTTGCTTTAGCAGACAGCGCTCGTACGTGGTACGAGAACCACGCACTGTCTTCATGGGATGAATTTCGGAAGCAACTTCTAAGCAGCTACGCAAACAACAACCCCTGTGATTCTGCTCAGTGACTCATGCATCCAAAAACCTAATGAGAGTGTTGCCATGTTTGCGGAGGACATGACCCGTTTATCTGCCTGAAAACAAGAAACTCAGACATTTGATGCGAGGCCTCAAATAACAGCTGTTTGCTGGTCTTCTTTGCAACCCCCTGACAACTGTTGCGGAATTCATCAAAGAGGCTACAACTATCGTGCGAGCACTACAGTAACGGTTCTCTACGGGAACTCTGAGACGTTCATGAAGAGATCCGCAGCCTCTTTGCGACTCCGCAAGAACTTGCAATGGCTTCTGTTGCAGAACTTGTAAGGCAGGAAATCAGGCAAGCATTTTCGTTGCCCGAATCGCTACCAGACCAGCGATCTGTCAACTATGCGTTGGCCGAGCATCGTCCAAAGCTAGTGCCGCACAACTCGATTCCAACTGGTTCATTCTTACAATGAGCCGGCGGTCACAGTGTACAGCCTGCTGCCACCACCACTGCCACCACCATTACGATGACGACTCCACAATATAACGCACATGCGGAAACATCGCCGTTCTACCTTCCGCCAACACCTGCCAGTTGGTCACCAAGGATGGGCCCCAGTCGACCATTCGTTCGTGAGGCTGACTTGTGGCGTACCGCTGACCGCCATCCACTTTGTTTCCATTGCGGAGAAACCGGCCATGTTTACTGCATCTGCCCGTACCGTGACGAAAGATATCAGACATCTTTGCCGACTTTTCCATGAGACCATTTCGACAACCGACACTAAAGCGCACACCCGAAAGAACAACCATCCGCTCCATATCGCCGGTCCTGCTTTCCGTCACCTGCACCGAGCTCTTCACCGCACCGTCATAGCTACACTGATGCTGTTTGGAGACGTCGACATAGAGGACGTCTTCACGATATTTGTACCGCCGTGTGCAATAATAAGCGCGTGCCTTGCGTTGACCCGGGTCGCGTTGTGGATTCATGTTGCGCGGCAATGGTTTCAGTTACATGTGTGCTGCAACTCTTATCGAAATAGGCAGATACTATATAAAACCAGCATGTGCGAGAAAAAAGAATTGACCTTCATAAGGAGGAGAGTAGGCGTAAACAAGCTGTTGGGGGGTGATGATGTGTTCACAAGCTCTGTCCCCCCAAACTTTTAATCTGTAGTCAGGAAATTAGTTTATGAGTAAAGCCACCAACTCAAGAATGATGACTATAGGCGTAAGGTTCCATAAATTCAAATACATGCGAAGGATTATAGTGGGGAGACACATGCATTGGGGCTTGAAGAAATCCAATACAGAAATGATAGGTCAGTACAAAGGAAGAACATCCATGATATTGGGAAACGAAACAAGCACCCTGTGTCACTTTACTGTGATCCAGCGCTCTTATTTATACTTACATGCGGCGATAGCATTCAAGACTCCAGATCCTATCTAAAACTTCTACAGGGAATGTTTGCCTGAGAGCAGCGATAACTGTCATAACACCCTAGCTTTAGAACTCGCATCGTCACATGTAAGGCAAAGTGAATAGCAACACAAGGTCACGGTTGTTAGCAAGGCACTCAATTCACCTTTTTCATTTTCCTGCGTTGCCCTCTGCCATTTCACAGGAGGCCACGGCAACCAATATTTTCAGAATGAGAAACCCCCCCCCCTGGGATTGACAGGCGTTTCCCGGATTTTTTTTTGCTACGGGACAAGCGCATGCGCCATAACATCAAGAAAAAGGCAGACTGTGCACAATAAACCACGCCATGAGGCAGGGTGAGGCTGGCACACCAAAACAGTAAACCGACTTGCCCATAACTCCAATACAAGAATGGTATCTGTGAGAGAAAGCCCTGCCCCGACACTTTTGCCATGGTTACATCACTTTTAAAGAAAAAAAAAGGAGAAGATGAAGGAAAGGGACAGAAAAAAAGAAGATCAGAATATGACAACAAAACAAACGTCATGTGCCGCATCGTACATAAGAGCCACACAGTAAATGTAGAAATGTATAACAACACTATCACAGACAGAACAGAAAGGGGAGAGGAAACAGGTTGAAGAAAACACAACAAATTTACTCTGGCTACCCACAATATGTGGGATACCTATTCGCATTATCCGCAATGATATACCTTATGAAGCACCACAAAAACAGAAAATATGCGACACGCCACACAACAAGCGCAAGTGAAATGGCAAGCAAAAGTGTCCCAAACAAAATCACATAAGCAAATCTCTGGCGCATTAGCACAGCAGACAAGAAGCTGACTTACCTTCTTGAACGAGCAGTCCTTGCCATGCCTACTTTTGCTTCTTTCTTTTCAGGGTTTGCCGTTGAAGCACTAAGGCAGCATAAAAAAGAGATTGTTACAAACTTAATAAAAGAAAAAACAGTTTTATCAATAACACATGTTCTTGAAGATCCCATACAGAATGGCCGAGGAAATGAGCATTGACGATATTCATGCTGAAACAACAGCAGCCGCTGGCCGAACACTCACCTCGGCAGTGGGAGGGTGCGAGCTCAAAACCACATTACAGCCAGTTACCCATTGGCATGGAGGAAAAATATTTAGGAGGTGAAACTTACGTCCCAGATAACGGCGCCCAGATAATGGGCGCCCAGATAACGCCACATAAAATACAAAAATAACATGCTCCAACGGAGACATTTCAGTTGGCGACGCCTTGCGACATGAAGCTGCAGCCACAAAAAAAAAAAAAAAAAAAGCAACGCTACTAGCTGAGCGCAACCAAACGCGCTCTGCATCCCTGCTCTGTGACTGCAGCGGAACACGAGCAAAGCGCGTGACCGGTCCCTTGGAAACCAAGACGACAGCGATTCCCTTTTCTACTGCAAGGCACCGCCAGCATCATTTGACCCTCCGGCAATGTGACGTCTCGTCGCCTCAAGGAGCAAAGTTGCATCTCCTGAATGTTTCTTCCTCCATGCCCATTGGTCACTCAAATCGGTCATCCCTGGGAATGAAGTGTTTTATACTTCTGTGCTAGGAAAATCTAGGCCCTTGTGTTACAGCAAAGCCTTGCAAAAGGAAGGGTATGGGGCCATTCTTATGGCAACAGTCCCCTATGTGGCATCCCAAAGCACCAGTTAAGAAGGGCAATTTTGAGAAGGAAATTTTGTCCTGAATGCTAATACAAACGTATCAGGCTACTTACGTTGCCACAGGCTGCAGTGGGGTGCCACTTTCAGCACCAGAAAATGTGCCCTTTGTAGGCGTCATAACCGTCTCCTTGTAGACTGTAGAAGTCCTGTAAAAAGAGAAGAGCATGTGTAAAACTTCGTGTTTCAGGACAAGAATTGAAAACAATTTTCAGCTTAGCAAGGGTAGATTGTTGGCCTTGGTGTAACATGTTCATGAGCACGTCACTAAAATGATGAAGACAGGGAGCACTTGTGTGTGTTCTCCCTGTCCCGTCTTCGTCACTTCAGTGATGCCCTTGATTTTATGAACTTCTCTTAAGCTTTAACGACAGTTAATCAGCACAGATAATGTACTTCTAAACAAAAGCAGAGTGATCTTTTTTTTCGAAGTTTTTCTTTCGTTTTCACAGTATCAGGTCCACGTTTCTATTTATTTATTTATTTATTTACAGATACCTAACAGGCTCCAAGTAGAAGCATTATGTGAGGGGGACTATACAATAGTTATTTGAAAAGAACACAAAACAAACAAAAAGAATTCAAAAGCCACATATTATACAATTGCTAAAATGTTCGATAACATACACTTGTAATATCACACTAATATGCGTTATACATTTTCGAACGGTTCAAGATGTCAATGTACAATGAATGAACACGATTATAAAATACATGCTTAGGAAACACAGTCATATGTAGTTGGTATTTTATTCCTAAACGCCACGTGATCACGAATGCATACCACATCATCAGAAAGGTTATTCCATTGAACTATGGTACGTGCTAGAGCGGATGCGTTGGATGCTTGGGTGCGGCCGAAATGACAAGCAAAACTATGCTGATTATGAAGCCTGCGAGATGCGCGATGGGGCTTTGTTAGTGGCGCTCAGTTAGTGGCGCTCAATAAGCTTAGCTGTAAAGCATTAAAAAATGCAAGTGCTTTGTGTAGTGTTTTATTTTGCGAAGTCAAGCATGAAGTACGCTTCTGGCCCGACGGTGCTCGGCATGAGTGCACGGCAGTTAGGAAGTGAAACTCGACACTTGAAACACATGAGCTTCTTCCGTGAACCAGAAGCTTTTTGCCCTATCACTGAGAGCTAGGAAGAATGAATTAATGTAGCAGGAAATGCAGTCAATGTGAGAGCCTTTGTGATGAATTGTGACTGACACTAGTCTCCAAGTGATCACCCATAACACTGTAATGGTGCAATTAAGTTCTGGCTGCCATGCATTCTAAGAAGCACATTTAAGTCATTTGCCATTCTGCAAGCAGTTTTACAAGGATAAGATTCTGACACTTGCAGCAACATGCAACACCATAAACAGCGCTAGAATACCAGAAAATAAAGGTTTTTTTTTTCCGATGCATGATTTGTATAAAGTACAGGATTAATTCAAGTCTACTAAGCAAATCAATAACAGCAAGCATAAAAGTAATTAAATAAAAATTAGGAAACCATTCACCGTGTCGAGCGAGAACTCCTGGATGCTGTTTTTATTTCCACGTGCTCCATGCCTGCGCTATCAGCACTGCAAAGGTGAAACAAACAAGGTATGCAATAAGAGACATAAGTTGCATGTCATGCACTCTAACATGGTTCTAAAGATTCTTGACATGGCCATGGGGTCGAAGAGCACTAGAACATTTTGAAGAAACTTAACATCACGTTAAAGTTTACAAAAGTTATTCAGTGCAACCCTACGTTCCCGTAGCAGAACCCATTTTACGGTTAGTGAAGCAATCACAAGCACTGTTTGATAAGTGAAAAGTTGCACCCGAGATTCCTGAATGCACACGACATGCTAAACCCCGTATTGACAAACACTCCTTAACATGCTGCCACAACCTTCAATGCAGCGCACTTGAAATGCGTGTGTTGCCTTGGCACCTGCTAAAGACAGCGCGTTCCAAATGCGTTTGTGCTGCATTGAAGGTGGTGGATAGAGTTAAGTTCAAGTAGAGAAGCGTTTCTGAATACGGGGGCAGACGAGGAACGCTTACACTGACTCAATTTGATGATAACATGTGGGCGATGCTGTTTATGGAGCCTGTAGCAGATTAACTAACGTGTTTACCTTACTTTTCCACGACATAAGCCCTGTATGAGAGAGACAGAAATATGCAGCACGCACGAGTCTACAACGAAAACGTACACCCGCGAGAACATTTCAATATGGTGTCGTAATATAGCGGAGTCATATGGGTTGTTGTTTATTCAAAAATAGATACATTTTTTATGAATACATTTTTTGCATGTCGAATGAACAATCGGAGGTCCCAAAGTAAAAACTGTCAGGGGGACCTCCTAACAAAAAGTAAAAAGAGGATTAGCTTTTTAGTCAGCAAACAGCGACGAAAGCACAGCAATATTTAAAAGAAAATGGTGCAACAACGTAGGGTCATATGAGCAATAGTGACAATGTGCTTTAAACAAAGAAACCCAAAAGAAAACATTCAAGTCATAAGTCATTTAACAATAAGACCTTCAAGTGCTTACTAAAGTAGTACATTGAGCATGATTTGAGATCAACAGGCAGCATGTTCCACAGTGCTATGCATGAAAATCTTGCCCTCATTTGACCATAGTTGGTACGTACTTTAGGTAGAAGTAGATTACGGTTAGCTGAAAACCTCCTGTTGTTAGTATTTACCAAAGTAACTCCCGAGAAACTGGAAATGTGTAGTTCATTATTAAGAATACGAAACATGATCATTAGAATTTTGTAGCTGAAGAGTTTATGCAGAGGTAAAATGTTCATGTTGCTTAAAAAAGGGGGCTGATGGTGATGAAAATGGTTTGAAAGTAATGAGTCTTAAAGCTTGCTTCTGTAATCGTTCTAAATGATTTACATGTGACCAATATGTACTTCCCCATGTTGATACGGAGTATGACAGGCGACTATGAATGAATGTGTAATATAAAGATAAAAGAATTTCAGTGGAGAAGTAAGGTCAAGTTTTGATGATCACGTGAATACCGAAAGACACCTTTCTAATTAAGGCCTGGGCATGCTCACTGAATTTTAAATGTTTATCTAATACCACACCAAGAAATTTAGTAGATGAACATGCATGAATGAAGTGTCCATCAAGCATCACTGCTAATGAAGCGATGTTTGGAAACAACTGCAGGGAATGGAATACCATGAAATTAGTCTTTGATGGATTGATGAGTAACAGATTCGATACACCCCATGAATGAACGTTATTTAAGCCGACGTTTAGTGATTGTTGTAGCATGAGTGGATCCTTGTGTGCGGTAAAAATAGTTCTGCCTTGACCTTTTTGCAAAGACTGTCCTTTTTCCTTATAGGATGCATTAGTGCCTAAGTAATCCAAGGATTCCTAGGTGCACGAAACCATTGTTTAATTATGGTTTCAGAGCACGACTGACTAATACATTCTCTTACCTTAGCTGGGTACGCACGGGGGTAGGGGACGGCCGCCCTCACTAGTGTAACTTTCAAACCTTAAGCGTCTATTGACCCCTACCAGCTTAACTACGGAAACGCATAGTTACATAAACACAACCGAATGCGGCACAGGAAATGATGTCGCAACGCGCGGGTGATTAACCGCATAAGCAAGACGAACACAATTGCTTCCTCTCGTCAGGTACACTTCACCCTGCTATATGTTTTTCACAGCTAAATTAGGTGCGTCCGTCAATCAAGTTCGCCTGACTGGCGTACGCGCTTCATACCTGGGCATATCAACGTCGGCTGGAGCAGGTGCCTGAATCTTGCTCGGTGTCGCCATGCTCTCACGCTTACGTTTCTTCGGATTGCTACAATGGGAAAGAAAAGCAATCGATCGCACGGGCAGGAAAAATCATACGCCGCGGCAAGTGACAGGCTCAGCGCGGGTGGGCTACCTTTTCGCTGCGGCCGTTTCCTCGAGAAACTGAAGATAAGGCCACAGGTCCCACGTTGTATTCTCTTCCTTCTTTGCCTTCACGTACTGATGCTTCAAGGACTTCCACTTGATCACGCACTTGGACTCTGCGCAAGAGAAAATGCTCCGATTCACAGCGCGTCTCGGTTCCCACTGAACTGCGTGCGTCGCTGATAGGCGAGGACAAACGCGCTGCGCGTCTACTCGTAGACCGTCTACCGCCGTTGCTGCGTTCACTTACGCGCTACTCCAAGCTCCCCGGCGATCTCCTGCCAAGCGTTCGTCTTAGACTCTTCGTCGTGAAAACCATCATTGCATATGTCATAAAGCGCAGGGTGCATCTGCACAAGAGTACACAGCTTGACACTGAATTCGTCCAGCATTTTCCTAGTTCGTTTAGAGAATGCGGGACTTAATAAAGGCAACAATATTCAAACGCGGCTAGCGTCTGCCGTGCGCCCATAGACAGCAAAAACACCTATATAGATCACGGAGGAGGAAAGTTCTCCTTACTCTATAAAATATAGATGATGATAGTGGTAGTCGGGAACTGTATATATCGTGGACGCATCCTCCATATAACACATGTACTTACGTGCGACGTGACTGTTAGTGCCCGAGTTCACTAAATTTTACAATAATATTGCACATTAATTTGGTCTCTATCTAAGCGTCTTTTAAATAGCACAAAACTATGTTACGGGTGTGTAGCAAGCTGGTGCTAGAGGGATCACCAAGGAGGTGATGATAGTGAGACGCTACTCACAATATTAACTCTGTGTGCTTTTCTACCCACGGAAACGGAATATTCACAACCGTTATAGCTTCAAACATGGTCTCGTAGAGTTGAGTTTATAGTAAACCGCATAGTTCTGTGGTACTATGGTCCATAATGCACACCAGGTATCGTAGTCATTGATTAGCTTGCTTATCATTAAGAAATAAAACTTTCGTCATACACTGTCACAAATGCAGAAAAACAATCAATCCAACTAAGTAAGCCTACGTAAGCGCGCATTCGACAAAAATTAGTCATTTTGTCCTGAAACACTTCTCATGCGTATTGTCGACAACAATGTGACCATGAAGTGTGAATAATTGTTTTCTTTGAGTCACATCTCTGTTGCGTATCTCAATAGTTCATGTTTGATTTTATAAATGTTGAAGAGGTACGTTTGTTTTTAAAGAAAAAAAAATTGTTCCAACACCGGGATTGAACGCGGGTCTCCTGGGTTCTAACCAATAAACCATCCTAACCACTAAAGCATACCGGAGTTGGTGGTGATAGAGTTTTAAAAATATTTTGAAAAGAATTCTATTACAACAAATAGTTTTGATGTAATCTTTCTTAAGTAGGTATCAACGGCCTTTTCTAAGTGTTCAGTGCTACAGGTCTAAGAGCTATTTTGATTCGCTGCAGATATTGCTGCGCGCGAGTGTACACCATAATAAGTGTTACACCATAACGTCGCGCATCTAAATAGTTCACGTTTGATTTTTTAAAAAGTTGAAGTGAAACGTTTGCTTTTGCTTCATTGTTTATCAATAAGGATAAAAAAAATTGTTCCGACACCGGGAATCGAACCCGGGCCTCCTGGGTGAGAGCCAGGTATCCTGACCACTAGACCATGCCGGATATGGAGGTGGTGGTGTTTTAAAAATATTTTAAATAGAATTCTATTGCATAACAAAATAGTTTTAATGTAATGTTTTTGATGTAGGTGTCAGCGGCCTTTTCTAATTTTAGTGTTATTTTTTGAACCCTTGTTCACGGGTCTAAGAGCTATTTTGATTCGGTGCAAAGATTGCTGCCTGTGAGTGTACACCATAATGTATCTGAATAGTTCATGCTTGTTTTTAAAAATGTTGAAGTGGAACGTCTGTCTGTTAAAAAGGAATAAAAATTGCTCCGTCACCGGGCCTCCTTGTGAGAGTCAGGTATCCTAAAGCTCAAGACTAGGTCTAGCCACCGTAACTAGACGAAGCCGCACACGGAGGAAGGAAAAGTAGGAGAGGGCATGCCCAGCCGGCGCGGGGCGTGAAAAGTGTGGCGAAAACGAAAATGACATCATGGCGGCCATATTCACTAGGCACAATGGCGGCGTTGCTATGGTTACGTGTTGCGTTACGTATAGTGAACTATGCCGCACCTTCCTCCGTGATGCCGCATGATGCCGGAGATGGTCAACGTTACTAGACTACATAGTCTAGTAACGTTGGGAGATGGTGGAGTGTTGTTTTAAAAATATTTTGAACAAAATTCTATTACATAACAAAATAGTTTTGATGTAATGTTTGTTTCATGTAGGTATCGATAAATTCTAAGTTTATGGCGCTATTTTTTGAAGCCTTGTTTACAGGTCTACGAGCTTTTTTGATGCGCTGCAGAGATTTTTGCGCGCGAGTGTGGCGCCAAATTTGAATGGGCGTGATTGCTTCTAGGTCAGCGTTGTGGAGTTGCCACTTCAGAATGGTAAAGATTTCACTATCATTTCACATTTTCGTGACCCCGGAATGGAATGGGGATGTAATTAAGCACAATTTGGCCGGAATGTAAAGGAAATGAAATTACGTCTTTTTTTTTTCGGAATATAGAGCACGTTTTCGTCTACGTGCTGTTCTTTTTTTTTTTTTTCACACTTAGAAGATTAGTAATTCAAAGCCTCGAATGTAATACTAAAGCAGCATTTTTTTTAAATAGCTTGGCTGATCAAAATAACGGTACATCTGTAATCATCGCGCCTATTACAACTATGTCCTTATATCGACTGTGTTCTTCCGAAGTTTGTCTATTCTTCGCGTGACCGCGGTCGAGAGAAGCTACGACAGTCAGCGTTACTAAAATTTCTAGTAATGTTGACGACAGCAGTATCTCCCTCCTCCTTTTACGCCTCGTGACTTTTTCCACGGCGGCACCCCAGCCACCTACTGTCTCCCCACCTTCATTTCTTTGCGCTATGTCGCCGTCGGCAACTCGGATGCATGTTCGAAAAAACAAAAACAAAAAAAAAACACGCTTCTCTAAACTGTGAGTGAGTGACTGAGAATTTGATTTCGGTCCAAAAGTGGCCGAGACTGGACGGGACCGGAGGCCCCGCTAGCTCAGCCAGGTGGCTTCACCCAGGAGCCGGGAGGTGGAGTCTCTCGGTGATGTCCCGGGCCCCCCTGGACGGCCAGGAGCTGGTTGTCGAGTTCCGAGCTGTGCATGGCAACCTCCCAGGAGGTTCGGTCTGGTAGTTCTGACCACGCGTTAAAGGGGCACAACCAGAACACGTGTTCAAAGTTATAGTGCCCGTGGTTGATTGATTTATTTGTGGGGTTTAACGTCCCAAAATCACTATAAGATTATGAGAGACGCCGTAGTGGAGGGCTCCGGAAATTTCGACCACCTGGGGTTCTTTAACGTGCACCCAAATCTGAGTACACGGGCCTACAACATTTCCACCTCCATCGGAAATGCAGCCGCCACAGCCGGGATTTGATCCCGCGACCTGTGGGTCAGCAGCCGAGTACCTTAGCCACTAGACCACCGTGGCGGGGCTATAGTGCCCGTGGTGACAGTGTGTACAGTGGGGTGAGAAATGCGGGATCGTGTAGGCTATGATGCGTAGTAACGCTGGCACGATGCTTTTGTTCACTGCAAGCTTTTGTATACGAGCTTTCGCACTCTCTCATCTCGTACCCCCTCCCCTCTTTTTTTTTTTGCAATACTGTCTCTCCTGTCTAGACGCATGGGCGTCTTCGCCCGGAACTTAATCGGTGAAGGTCTGCAGGTCAGCGCAGCACGCAGTCATGTACACAATGAACTGTACGCGCTCCCCCTGTGTGCGGACAGAGAGGGAGAGAATGGACTTTTGAAAGCGGTGGTTCGGAAAACCGCCCGAAGCAGCAAAGTCCACGTAACCGCGGCTATACGGCGCCCTGGCTCCCCGAGTCCAGACGCGACGTCCGATTCGCGCCAAAAAGCCCCGTTCACTCTGTTCTAGCGTGGAGGATGGATGGATGGATGCTATGAGCGTCCCCTTTATAACGGGGTGGTGACAAGTATGCCACCAGGCTCGACAAAAAAAAAAAAAATCTTTTTTCCTTTTTTTTTTATGTTGGCCTAATGCCTCTACTTCGATAAATTCTATCTTAATGGAAAAAAGGTAAATTTTCAGCTTAAGTTCTCTGCCATTTACGGCACACTGTCCATATTTTATTTTTCCAATATTTATTTTTGTCCTTTCTCTCTAATTTTCTGCCACCAATACTCTAACCGTCTCTTACTTATTTCAATCGCGGGTGTGTTCAGCTTTCCATTGTTGTCCCTAAAACCCAAGGCTTCCTGTAGGTTCGTGCCCAAACGTACACCTGGGTGGATATCTCCACATTCAATCAGAACATGTTCCGCCGTTTCCTTATCTTTCCCGCAGCATGTGCATTGTTCTTCTTCTTTACTGAATCTTGCTTTATAACTACGCGTTCTAAGGCAACCCGATCTCGCTTCAAACAGTAAAGCGCTTCCCCTTGAATTATCGTAAAATGCCTCCCTCCTTATTTCATTTTTGCCCTTTCGGTAGTTACTCAAAGCCGGAGGAACGGCCGGGCGGCCCCGCCACCTGTAGGCGGCTAGAGAAGCACTATACCACGCAGCCCCTTGCGTCGTGTGGTTATCGCTTGAGCAGCTCATGCTTGTGAAGCGCAACACATTTTCGGCCAGACGGCCATTCTTTCGTCTCATTTTTTTTTTTTTTTAGAACCAAGCGTTCACAAGGCCGTCATTCCCAATTCAGGTTTGAAAAACGAAACGGCGAAGCGCCCATTTAGCTCATAACACGGCGTGGAGAAATTTCGATGAATGAAACCAAAAGAATGGAATGGAATGAAAAAAACTTTATTTCGGTCCTGCAGGACGCGCTTAGCGCGTAGCGGGCGCCTCCCACGTAGGGACCGACAGGGAGTACCTGGCGGCCGCTTCGTGGGCCTGCTGGACGGCCCATTGCTGGTCGGCGAGAAGTGAGCTCCTCAGGGACCAAAAGAAAGCTTTTTTTTCACATTGTACTGCTTGCAACATTTATTGCAGTACTTAAACACCACGAGAATGCGTAAGCACTTTTTATCACGTATGCCTGGTGACCAAAGAACTAGTGACCAACTGCCGGACGTGTTTGGAAGACCAGGTGTTCGGGGGGTGAAGCCCGGGATATCAGACGTTTCTGAATCTCGAGCTGAGCGCTGGTAATCCCGCACTCCCGCTGCTCCGGGGTAGGATAATTTCATTGTTATCGTTATTTATTTTATCTTTCTTTTTTGCAACTTCGCTCGGTTCCTACGACCAGTGTTGCGGAATGGGCGTTTTCATTGCAATTTCATTCCGGAGAATTAAGAGTTTACGCAATTTTATTCTTTTTAGTTCCTCCTAATGAAAAATAAACTTATCCCGATCTCACTTCGTGAATGGCCAGGCAGTTCAGTTCCATTCCTGTAATTG